CATGGTACAACACCAAGTGGGCAACCTCTCTGTGTGTCTCTTGGCTTCACGCCCAGCTGGGTTGCGGGCGCTATTGAGACCCCCCCCCCCTTACCCACCACCACCACGACAGGGTGAACACACATCGGGGGGTTCTTTTATGTATCTACGTTACGTAATGCTTTTTCTGATTGTAAATCAATTATTATTAAAAAACATAAAAAAAGATTTATGTAAAATATCAAGAAAAACTGCACCCACACGAATGAAATTGTTTCTTTTGAAGTTAGAAGGGGCTAATGTTTATTAACATGGTAAAAAACAATGAATAGAAAAATTAATCATACGTTTAGATTCCATTAAAGATTATCTATTGTAAGTAAACCAATAATGTTTACTCACAAAAGGGGAGTCCCCAGAGGGAATAAAAGCCATTTTACTTGTATTGATTGTCGAGGAAAATATTTACTTTATAACATACTTGCGAAACGGTTAGTATGGACTAAAACTATACATTTAGGTAATAAAATTGTAACTAAGCCGAATCTGTTCATTAAATATTTTTTTGGAAAATCTTATTGAAATATAGTATTATCGATACAGAAGCCGAATCTATAGTTTTTAGAATTTTTGTCTATCTGTCTGTCTGTTACCGCATCTCGGAAAAACCACTGGAGGGATTTTGATGAAATTTGGTATGATGATAGCTGGTGCCTGGTTGTCCGGGTCAACATATAGGATACTTTTTACCGCGGAAGAATCTCATTTCAGGGAAAAATACAAAAACTGCATTGTAAGAGTATACTAATATGTAAAACCTAAGAATTTGGTTTTTGGTCATCTGAACGCGGGCGGAGCCGCCGGCAATGCTAGTTTATTATAAAAAACTTTACATAGAAGTAATTACAACTGCAGAAAATGCTAGAAATAGCGATGCCTCGTCCGCTGGAACTCAATACCATGCGTTCTACGCAGTACATTTTGTGATAGGCCTCTTAATGTTAAAAAAACAAGCTTTAAATAAAGTTGTTTATTTTTAGGTACTTATCTATATACATAAATAAAATTGAAATGTCTGTTCGTAATGTTAAAATAACAGTTTTTTACTAAATGCATATGAAATTACTTACGGTACTTATCTATACGAAAAACACAATTTTTAATTTTTTATCTGTCTGTCTGTTTGTTCCGGCGAATCTCCGAAACGGTTTGATTTTAACGGGACTTTCACTGGCAGATAGCTGATGTTGTAAGGGGTAACTTAGGCTACTTAATTTTAGAAACAGAATTAGGGTTCCGCTCAAAAAAATTAAAACGTAAGTAGGGACGCTCACGAGCGAAGCAAGGGTGAGTCGCTAAATAAAAAGTAAATATGTATAATAAGTTGAAATAGTTTTTTTGTATTATTATTTGCGCCTTTTAGATTTTTCATAATCTTTAACGATTTTATAAACTAATGTTTATTTATATATAAGTTATAAGTAATTGCGTGGTTACTTAAGGTCGTAGCATGTTAGCGTATAACCTTCCTCAATAAATATTTATATTAAATGTAGAAATATTATTTTATAACTACATTATGAATGAGAATACGAGCAATAAACAAAAAGAACAGTGCCCGATTCAACCTTACCTCCGCTCCTGGGCATAGTAAAAAATGCCGCCCAATTATAGCATAAAATAGGTAAAGTTTCGATAAAGCTTATTTTTTTAATTTCTATTAATTTTTTGAAAAATGCAAAGGAAATAATTTATGAATAATTTCAATTTTTCGAAAAATGTAGGTACTAGTTATTTTTTTAATTATTCATTTTGTTGGAAAATAAAAAACGCATAACGATATTTTTTTACCATCCTCCGAATTTTGCTGCCCCTAAAAATTTGCCGCCCTGGGCGCTAGCCCCGAGTGTCCCTAGTGTAAATCCAGCGCTGAAAAAGAATATCCTTTTCAGAGCTTTTATATTAATAATAATATATCTTTTCTTATTGATATATCTATAGATCGTCAATAACTAAACCAAAAAAATCGGTTGACAGTTGACACTTAATGCACCATTGTGACCATTTAATGCGAGTGTTTCAACGAATTTTTGTACATATAAACAGTTATAGTTGCAAAATTTATTTAAGCGAAATTGATTAAGCCATTTTCGAGAAATCGGAGAACCTATACCTACTTATAAATATATACATACATTTCGTCTGTATGTACCTATATTTTTTATTTATTTATAAAACCTTTTCCCTTTTTGGTCGTCTAATAATACAATATGCCATTAAGTACGTTAATTAGTTTTAATTTAATATCTTTAAAACATGCACGCGTGTGACATCACGACTGATAACTGGGTATGAATGAAGACGACCCCGACCTTAGATAGTGACGTATACGATTAGGGAATTTTATGCAACGTGATTTCAATTTTAAGTTAAACACCAACTTAATTCTATATACCTACTTACAAACTTTTTCGTCGCAGTAAATAAGTAAAATACATGTAAATGTTATCTATGGGCATTACACACAGAATATATATATATATATATATATATATATATATATATATATATATATATATATGTGTATATATATATATATATATATATATGACGAAACTAAGGAGGTTCTTCTAAAATAAACAATTCAGTTATTTAGTTTTCATTGGTTCTTAGAATAAAGTTAACAAATCAAAAACTATTCGAAACCCAATATACCTAATGTCTTAACGCATGCCAAATCCTTATACAAATAAACTTAAAATATTTATAGAAAATAAGTCAAAAGGAGGCCTTTTTTAAAAAAATGGCAAATTAATAGCTTTTAGACTTTGGCTAAATTCATTTAATAATTTAATTCTCTTTAAAACTTAAATATGAGGCTGTTGACTGATCCATCTACTACACTAATATATAAGTACTTGTAGATAGTATAGAAAAATTGTATTAATTTAAAACTCTTTAAAGCCATCTAAGGTTTCTTAATGATACTTATATAAGTAATTGTAAATGCGTGTTAATAACAATATAATTAGGATGTAACAATGAAATAATGAAACTATGGGAGAGACAATTAAATAGTTTCCTTGTTGCAGTAAAAATGTCAAATGTAATTGCAACATGGCGGATGTGCTTTTTAACTATTGATAACAAGTAACAACATATTTATTATATGTTACTAGCGATTCACCCATGCTCTGCTCGGGTTCGCCCCTAGTTACTTCAAAAATGGGGGATGGGGGTAGGAGGGTGAAAAAGACTTTACGACCTATTGTCATACCTACCAAACATACAAAAAAATGTATTCAAATCGGTCGAGCCGTTTTGGAGGAGTGCGACCACCAAAACTTTTATGTATTAGATATCTATATAATATGTATATAAAAATTGATGTGTGTATGTTCCCTATGGAGTCCAAAACGACTCGATCGATTTTGATGAAATGTTCAGGCAATCTTCAGATTAGGCTAGCAGGTGATCCTGTTAAGTTTGGAACGTGTCATTATTTAGCCTTACTCAATAAATCTTAATAATATTATAAATAGTGTACATACGTATATTACGTGATATCTACGGAAATTATTGTGAGCTTATTTTAATATTCTTAGTTTAATAAATACATAGGTACATTTCTGCAAACACACTTCACTACAAGTGTGGACACGTATGAATTCCAAGAAAAGAAACTCTAGGCAGATACATTAAAATAACAATGTTCATTCAACCGATTGCTCCCACGGCGGCCTATCTTATTGGGATTAGCCATCTGCCCAAGAGATATTACAGTGCACAAGTGTACGCGCAGCATAGAGAGTGCACTATCTCTATTTCTGTCACTCTCATATTCTGGTGGGACGACACGCGACACGACCAGTGAGAGTTAAGGCGCCGTAAAGGCGACGGGCTGACGGGTATACGTGCTCTCCAAGTCACGGGGGTGAAACCCCGCCAACTTCCCAACTCCGGGCTGTTACTGAGGCTTACTAAACAGAAAGACTAAATACCTAAGCTTGGCCCGACCCGGGCTCGAACCCAGGACCTCCGGGTGTGCAGCCGTACATGCTAGCCGCTACACCACCGAGGCTGTTTGTAACGTGTGTACAAACGTAACGATAAAACTAATTGTATCAACAAATCGTGGAATCCACGGATAATCGTGGATTTTATAATTAAATGTACAAAGTACTAAAAGTTTGTTCATTATAAAATCACCATCTCTACGTCCCCTCTCTTTTTTATCTATCCGTCTGTCCTAGCTTATCTATTTAAAAAAAATAATAGGAATTTTACACACAAGTTGAGGGTTTGAAAATAAGTATCCTGGAAAAGGAATACGCATAAGGCCAACTGGGGCACAATTTCACTCATAACGGCTCAAGTTTAAACGAAAAAATGTACTTCGAAGTTTTAGAATAGCTGTATTTGTCCTACAGAAAAGTGAACCCAACACCCTTCTCTCCGACAGACAAAAAAACTGAATGTTACTAAAATACTTTGAGAGATTTTGTACAAAAAAAATAATACATATTTCCATCGACTTTAGGAGTCCTTAGAACCGAATTTACTTACAAATTAATAAATTATACACCTTTTTCAAATCTTTTATCAAACTATATACCTATACGTAGGTCATTTATTTTTTATTTTCACACTCGTCTGTAGTTATCTTAATTTTGTTATTGAATATTTCATCATCTTAATTAGAAGAGGTTGAATAAACGTGTTTTAGTTAGTAAAGATTTACATATTAGATTAAAAATCTTTGTTGCCAATCATTTAAAATTTAATGACTAAATATTTTGCATCAATTTTATAACAGGTATAGAGTATATTTGAAGCTTTATTATAAAAAAAACACTTAAAAATGATAAAATTAAAACAAAGTCATCTAATTAAATACCGTTATTATTTGTATTTACGATCTATATTTTAAAACATAATGAGGAAAATTAATTAAACTAATGAAAAGGAAAATGCAATTTCTCCATGCAATTAAATAAAAATCGATTCCACATCAAACTTACCGCTGCCTTCACTATACGTCGCTAAGTACACGATAAAGCCTGCTAACACTAACCACTTCATTTCACAAAATCCTTAAATTAATCACGTCACAAAAACTAAATTAACTCTCAAGCGGTCGCGCGACCACCTCCTACCGCGGCCTGATCTCTACTGATCCTTCTCAATAATCCCCACAGCCAATTCAATACGTAGAACCAAAGAGTTTTAATCATCCCCCATTAACACTGATTATATTGCTTTTTTTTTAATTCCACAGATGAAATAAATTTGTCTCTATATTTTTTATAATTTCACATGAAATATAATCGAGGTCCGACAGCGGGTGTGGTTATTAATGATCTCATAGAACTATTAATTTGATGCCACACCAATATTTACTAATATATGAGAACTTGATAATACAGTCGAAGAAAACAGATAACGTTTCTAATTATAGAATTAGATTAATATTTCCGGATGATAAAATTTTAATTAATGTTATATTTTAATGAACGAACACTTTTTTTATTATAACTTTTTGTAGACATTCCTTCGTAAAAAGCTTTCGTAAGTATTTAAATATAATCCAGTTTTTTTTCTGTAAAATCTTTTTAAAAGCTTAACCGTCCACCGTCGCAGGCTTCAAAGGCTGGCGAAATTAAAAAATATAAAACCGCAGTTAGCAACAGACTGGCCAGTCAGTTTGAAAACAAGAATAAAAGCGGGAAAATGCGAATTCTAAATATAAACGCTTACATTCCGAGGAGAACAAGAACTGTCGTAAAAAGCGCAGTAAAGTTAGAGATTTCTCCTTACAAAGCGATGCGATTAAAATTTTATAAAAAAAATATTTAACCCAGTGTTATTGTAGAGAAAATTATGATTTGGACTTCTCCATTAATATTTTGTAAGATAATAATAAATATTCAAATGTCATTTAAAATTCGATTTGTATGGCATTATATAATAATTTCACTATAGTTATACATATTTAATTGAAGCAATTGTGAATATTTCATTACTTTTTTTTCGGAGCTTAAGCTAGTTAAAGTTATCAAGAAAACATTATAATTAATGCGCCATATTTTATATTTATTATAATGTATTGGTATACACAGAAGAATAATTTGCTTAAACCGCTGAACAGATTTCTGTGAAATTTGAGGAGAACATAGATTGTATCATTTGACGTAGGCTACCCTTGATCCTCACCCTGCTTATCACGCGAGTAAAAATTTGTACTTATGACTTTATAAACCAGTGCTTCACACGATACAATATGACAATGTAACCAATCTTTTCAACAATGTAATATTTAAATTTAATTATTAGGTATTATTTAAAAATATATCGTATCGCACTCGTCCCATGTACTGAAAAGAGTAGTAAAAGCGCGGAACCTTTGACGCGACGGCGCATGTTCGTGATTTGAGATACTGATGCAGACATCTAAAATTGGATTAGTGAACTTTTAAACCTTGTTTTATATTCTAAAAACGTTACACTTGCAGATCTGTGTTCAGAATATATAATTGTACTAACCGCTGCCTACGGGTTCACTCTACTTTGTATTTCTAAATAACCAAAACATATCTATGCTGTATGGATCTTCACGTACAGTGTCTTTGGTTTTACTAAATGAATAAAATAAATGTATGACTAGTATTAGTGTAGAGTATGACGACACCTTTGGCTCAGTGTGTAGTGACCCTACTTGCAGTGCCAGCGGTCACCGGTTCGAGTTCCGCTGGGGGCATTCATTGTGTGATGGGCACGAATGTTTGTACTCCAGTCATGGGTGTTTATATTTATAATATGTATGTAATTAAAGTTTATATATGTGTAGTGTATCATATCCATAACACAAGCCTCGTAGCTTACCATGGAACTAGATGGTGCTGTGTATTAATATCCCAACATATAAATTAAAATTAACTAAGTTTTTAATTCAAGCTTTTTTTTAAAGAAGAAATAATTTACTTGTGTACTTAAATTATTTTTTGGATAATAGCGATATTATATTAAAAAGCTTAAACGAAACGAAGTGAATATATCGAGTTCGTTAAAACAAATCCATTGAACCCAAACTCGGTCAGCATCCTTTGAAGTCCCACTCTACCTCTTGGCTCCAACATCAGACCAATTCGAGGTATCAATTAAATTATTGTATTCTATTATCCAAATTTCATATTCATACAAAGTTTCAAATCGATTCGACATTCTATTCGGATGTAGGTCAAAATTGACTTGCAAAATTTAATACCGTAGTTCAAATGAGTCGAATAAAGCATAACACTTTCTTAGATTTAGCCATCTTTTCGAAGTTTTCACCGTTTTTTTATGATTTTGGATTCCAGATTGTCGATTTATTTACAGCAATCATCGTCCCGCCTTTGGCCAGCGTTGTGAGTATGGACTGATCGCTAATCATTAAGAGAAATCAGGGCCCAGCTGTGGGATGTTAAAATGGCTGTACTATAAAATATCCAAAAGACAATAACATAACTAAATGAAACATAGTTTCAATTAAAATTATAAAAGCGTGTTAATATCTCCCGTTTATCATCTTAAAATAATATACTCCAGGTACTATACAGATGAAAAAGCGTTCGCGCTCTTTGCTATCTATGGCCAAGTATTTTCTACTTTCTTCGATGTGAGTAACATAAAATATTATAGCTATCACTATATACTATCACTATAGTGCTTAATATAAATAAGTTCTCTAGACCTACCTTATAAGGTAAGCACATTAATTACTTTATGGATAAACGTTACGTTGATCACAACAAGACTAGTATCCATACCCATTATAATAATATTATAAATATGAAAGTCGGTCTGTCTCTATATCTGTTACCTTTTCACGCTTAAAATGCTGAACAGATGTCGATGATTTGGCAAGGGCATAGATTGTATCCTGGGGACCGACACAGGGTACTTTTCCATTCGTTCATACAAATGCACAATGTATATATATATATATATATATATATATATACCATATATATGTAGCAAAGCCTTTTTGAAACAAACATTATTATCGATACAGAGGCCGAATCTATAGTTTTTAGAATTTTTATCTGACTGTCTGTCTGTCTGTTACCGCATCATAGAAAACCCACTGGAGGGATTTTGATGAAATTTGGTATGGTGATAGCTGGTTATCCGGGTCAATATATAGGATACTTTTTACCGCGGCAAAATGTCTCATTTCTAAGAAAAAATAAAAAAACTTAAATGTAAGAGTATAGTAATATGTAAAACATAAGAATTTGGTAACTTTGACTAAAAAGTCATTTGAATGCGGGCGGAGCCGTGGGCAATGCTAGTGTCTTTATAATAAGTGGTCTACTTCACACCGCAACCCGTCTTGATGCTAATCTATATCCTTTATACATACATATATGTATGTCATATGTATAAAATTCCGGTATGCGTGTGCCGTGTGCTGATACCTAATTCTTTTCCTCCTGAATAGCTTGACCTATTTTGATGAAATTTTTGTGTACGGGGTTTGGGGTCACCTAGATGATTCTTAGTTATAGTTGGCCCCGTTAAGCGGCGCTTTTCTCCAGATCCAGTTTTTTTTGTATACTTCTACGCTAATATGTCTAGGAAAATAAGTGAATGAGTCACCAATTTATAAAATTTGTATTGATATGTAATAGTGGTAGCCCAGTGGTAACGCGCTCGCTTGGTAAACCGAGTGAAACGGGTTGAAATCCCAGATCTCGCACCTCTGATATTTTCATGTGCGAATCATTTCTAACATTATTACCACTTGCCTTACGGTGAAGCAAAACATCGTGAGGAAACCTACATGTTAAAACAGCAGATTTACTACACCACACTAGAAGCTCGATTCCCGCACGGTGTCAATTTTCATAAATCTTGCAGGTGCCAATAAAGTAGACATTAAAATGATATGACTATCACTTGATATAATAAAAAAAAACTACTACCCATTACTATTTTATACTTTATAGTTTTCGAAGTCGGTTTTTTTTCAAGTTTTTTTTTTACTTTTTAGTGTCTGTAATAAGTTGTTCTGTAAAATACAGTAGGTAATAAGGTAACGATTGGTTATAATATTTCTCAGTTTATTTACTCCGCGCGCTCGCTCCGCTTCAATGACAGGTAGCCTAATACTCACTTATCTGGACACGGGTTAATAATGATATATAATCAACTAAATGAAAACTCCTAAAAAGCCGTACACAAACTAAAATAAAATTGCATCGTCCACGTAAAATGTTCATAAAAAAATGTTCATAAAATGAAAACTACTGGGCCAAACTATGTTAAATTTTTATGGGACCAAATGGCAACTATTCCGCATCAAACTAAAGAAGAATCGCGTAAATCGGATGATAAATCTCAGCGTAAATGGTGCACATACATAAAAAAATACCAATCGAATTGAGAACCCCCTCCTTTTTGAAGTCGGTTAAAAAAATATATAAATATATAACATATCATTTATCAGCAATTTCACACGTAATTTCGTCTAAGTACAAGCGGCGCCAACGCGTCATAGATAACTAATCGTACAAATGTTTGTTCCCAGGATGTTCCCACGGCTATCACAATAGGTTCCGGTTTATATCTCTGCTATATCCGCTTTTGCTTCAAACCCTTATAATTACATGTAAATCGTTTGACTCATCTTATATCATCTTTTAGTTTGCCCTTTTCGATAAATGAAAATGGACTCCCTTACTATATCAATTAGTTACTTTATTATATCTAAAATGAAAAAGCTTTTTGGATTTAATAATCTATATGTTACAGTCAAAACTACTTTTGACTAAGGAGGTTGGTCAAAAGTAGTTTTGACTGCAGGCTTGCTGGAGTACTGCTTGCAGTTTACAGCGTTGTGGTCAATGTTCTAACCTAACCTAGAAAGAAAGAAAGAGTTCTTCCGAATAACCTTCAACTTACATCACCTTAACTTTTTAAAAGTTTGTACCGATATCACTAGGCTAATATTCAGTCATAGCACCGCCCCTGGGGACAGTAAAAAACTGTTATTCACCAAGGCCTGCAGTTAAAACTACTTTTGACCAACCTCTTTAGTCAAAAGTAGTTTTGACTAAAAATAGTTTTGACTGTAACATCTATCTTATATATAAAATTTCCATGTCACAATGTTTGTTACCGTACTCCAAAATTTATATGCGTATTCAGTAGGTATGAGAATCGGCTACTATCTATTTTCCATACCCCTAAGTGATAAGGATAAGGGTGGTCCTCCCAGACCCCACCCCAGGGACGAAACCGAGCGGAACGAGGGTGAGTCGCTAGTCGAATATATAAAATTTCCATGTCACAATGTTAGTTACCGTACTCCTCCGAAACGGCTTTACCGATTTTTACCAAATTTTATATGCGTATTCAGTAGGTCTGAGAATCGGCTACTTTCTATTTTCCATACCCCTAAGTGATAAGGGTGGCCCACATTAGAGACGAACCCGAGCGGAGCGAGGGTGAGTCGCTAGTATTTATATAATAAAACTGTAGAGGTCGAATGTCTGTACATAGAAAAAAATGCTAAAAACCTAGTCAGGGGGATGTAAGAAGAGAAATAGAACAAATCCAGATTTTTTCAAATTACCTATTCGTTTCTCTGTCTGTTTGAACAGACAAATAATTTTTACGCGAATATTTTAAATAAATTTTGTTTTGGGATAATTTCGAGTGTCTCCCGTGACCATGTTTGCTGTAAAGCATTCGAAACGTCGGGAGCCAAAAATCAAAAGAAATATGCGAAAGAATTCGAAAATTCACATATCACATAAGACGCAAGGCTCATCTAGTAGGTACCTATGTTAATTAACCACTTGAAAGAAATGTTAAAAATGATTAACAGCTTATTTCTCTCAGTAATATGTAGTTACACAAATTACTTATATATATATATATATATATATATATAAAATATACTTTAATATACCATAATAATATATACTATAATAATATGCGTAATTGTATTTTGTATTCGTATTTGTAGTCTTTCGTAAACTTGCTAGGTTCTCTCAGACTTGCAGGTTTCCTCACGATGTTTTCCTTCACCGTAATATACGTGGTAATCGTGTTGAAAATGATTCGCACATGAAAATATCAGAGATGCGAGACCCGGGATTTCAACTTTCACTCGGTTTCCCAAGCAAGCGCGTTCCCCCTCTTTTTTTTTTTTTTTTTTATGTCAGGAAATGCATTTACGCATACCACCTGATCCCCCAGGTGGTGATGTGGGGCTCACCGGCTAGAAGAGCCGGTACTACCCACTAAAACCCGACATTCCCCTCCCCTCCGCCTTAATGGGACGCCGCAGGATCGCTTGCGCATAACTACTACGGCGCCCCGGCGGCAGGTCTGCCTAAGCGCTAGGCAGACCACCAAACCGATGGGGCTGCTCCACAGTCAACTCTGCTACGTCAGAGAGGTACCCGGAGCAGCCCCATTAAACCTGACCACCGCCCACCGAAGTGGGCCACCTCCAATCGGCTGCAGAGGACAGGGAGAGCGGCAACGAAACACCGACACTCCTCTTCCCCATCAAACGGTGGCGGCCCCGTCTAGGCCGCGGAAGGTAGGGAGAACGGCGCACCGAAATACCGGCACTCCTCTCCCGCCGCGGCCTACTCCTCCGCCGGATGCGGGCCTGCGACCATAGTCCCGCAACCGGCACCCATCATCCGGTTGTGGGACCAAGCGGTCCCACCACCGGTGGCCGCAACGTCTTCGGCTCGAGTCCTAGACGAGCGGCCCCACCCAAGCCATTTGGTCCGCGCCGGATTTCTCCGGTACCACCCGCCGCCCTAAGCAGGTGGCATTCCCCTATCCGCCACCTGGGGACGCGCCCGGTAGGAGTTGGCTTCTCCCCCGGGGAGCGCGTTCCCCCTAATCTACCACTGCCTTAATTTTATTTAAACGCATGTAACAGGAAAGTGGCTGGCCCGATTTCGTGATGCTCAAATCTATTTGTTATCAAATTTTCCAATAAAAACATTGCTAAAAATTCAATTATATAAAAGTTATGTTCGATGTCATGTTCATTTATAACAACAATATTTAGCATTAAATTACTTATCGTGAAGTTTTTATCGTGAAATCCGGTGTTTTCCAAGCAATTTTCCCGACTAAACATATAGCTTATAGCTTTTGCGTGTTTATCAACAAGTAATTTATTTTAAGTGCCTGTACTTTAAGTGCACCTACAATCTAGATCGCTATCTACTAATCGATACCAATCATTTTCAGGAAAAACCACTTAGCATGCCTATATTTACATCGTCGATAAATAGGTACCTACATATAAAGTATAAAGCTTAATGCTTAGAATAAAAACAAACTAATTTATCTACATCTATACATATAATAAAATTGTAACTAAGTCGAATGTGTACATTAAATATTTTTTGGAAAATTTAATTGAAATAGACATTATTATCGATACAGAGTCCGAACCTATAGTTTTTAGAATTTTTGTCTGTCTTTCTGTCTGTCTGTCTGTTATGGCATCACGAGAAAACCACTGGACAGATTTTGATAAAATTTGGTATGATGATAGCTGGTTATCCGGGTCAACATATAGGATACCTTTTACCGCGGGAAAATGTCTCATTTCTAAGAAAAAATACAAAAACTGTAATGTAAGAGTATAGTAATAAGTAAAACCTAAGAATTTGGTATTTCGTCATCTAAGCGCGGGCGGATACTATAAACATATTACAGATGTTTCATCCCATACAAAGAAATAATTGGGCAGCGCTAATTGAGGCTATTTTTCGGGCTATTTTTGCTTGCTACGGACAGATGCACTTAGCGATTTTATTTTATACTATGAATAGATTATGTTTAAAATAAAACAAAATAGCAATTATAACAAACAATTACTTCAACAGTTTTTAACCGTGCGAAATTACTCATAAAAAGTAAAAGCGCCATCTGTAAACATGCACTACAATTTTATTAGGTACATGATTGCTGATATTTCAATAATCGAATTTACGGTAATGCGGTAACAGACAGACAGACAGAGAAAAGATCTAAAAACTATAGATTCGGCCTCTGTATCGATAATACTGTCTATGTCAATAAGATTTTCCAAAAAATATTTAATGCACAGATTCGGTTTAGTTACAATTTTATTATATGTATAGATAATATGTGTAATGTATGAACTAACTGGTATCCATAGCAAAAGCCTCTCTTATCATGGAACTAGATGGTTCTGTGTGTTAATGTCCCAACATATTTATGTATTTATTATTTTACCTGTACCTGTCTTAATTCCTATTATAAATACAAAGAGGCGCGAGCGTAAAATCTGAACAAAGCGAGGTTACGTCACTTTTAGATCGCTGTTATTAAATCCATAAAAAAAGTACCTACTTAGTTTTTGGGTATAAGATCTTGAATACTCGATAATTATATCATCAGTGGAAGACAGAATTATTTATATCAGCATATAATTTAGCTTTCGTGTTTAGAGGAATGAAAAATCTGTTTATTTTGATATAATTAAAAGTTAATCATCTAGGCTCTGAGAGAAGGGTCTACATTACTATCTCCCTTTTATGTATTAAGAATAATAATTAAAATTCGTAATCGTATAGAAAAGTGCACTGGAGGCAATCTTAACGCTAAAACAGCGATTTCTTCCAGCAACTTAAGGCATAGGAAATAGCAGACGGACATGATAAAATTACAAGATTTCCTGCCATCATGTTTTTGCCAGAAAAAAAAACATTACTATTTGACGTTTGTTAAATCTAAGGCTCTGGCTCGCATTTTAAAATGTCACTGTCAAGTGTCACTGTCACATTAACTAATAACATTGACAAACTAGTTACGGTGTAAATAAATTGTTTTAATAAAAACTGATAAAATAAAATCATAATGCTTATTTTGGTATAACGTATAGTAATTCAGAAGTACTTACTTCATTAAAACATTTTGAAAACAATGGAAGAAGGTAACTCAATTATTTACGGCCTAGAAAATCAGGTACTCACAATTTGTATTTTTATTTTTTATACTTATATAATAAATGCAACTCTCATTTGTATTATATAGCTATGGACTTAGCTTATAACAATTAATAAAAATACAATCGTATTTAATATTTGACATAAAAATTAAATAATCTTGTATTTTTTTTAAATTAAAGTTATGCTACTAATTACTTACTTTCAGACGAGAGCTCTATCTCCACAGTATGGAGAATGTGACGCTATTAGATTCCTTATTGGAACTCAAAGTTTAAAGCCTAACACCAATCAAGTGCATGTTGTAGAATTGGAAGAAGATACAGGAGCTTTACATACAAAGGTAAATAAAGTAAATACTGATTGAAATTTTTTTTTCACAAGAATACTTGATAATGTGGAACAAATTAGAACTAAGTTAATATTCATACATAATTTTTTTCAGGTATTTAAACATGATATAGGTGAAATATGGCACCTACGATGTTCCCCTCATGATGCTGCAACCTTAATAACTACACACAGTGCTTATGATCCTGAGACTTGTCAATGTACCATGGGTGTTACTATTTTTAAGCTGCCTACAACTGATGTGAGTTAAATTTTCTAATATAAAGAAATAATAAAATTATAATATGTATTATGCCTACTAATAAAAATCTTTGCTTAAAAAAAATTGATGAAGCAATTTTAGTAAGAACATGATAATAATTTGTATTTAAACTAGGGCTACTGCAAAGAGTAACACAAAGAGACATACAATACATACAACCTCTTTGATTAAACTTACAAGCAATTGTATCTGATATATTATTAAATATAAGTAAATTACAAAATGAAGTAATAAATGGCAATTTTTATTCAATTTCAGGTTATTCCAAAGGATTTAGATGATTTAAATGCAATTCAAAGTAGAAATGCAGAAGATATGGAACTACTGAAAACTATAACACCTGATGTAAGTTAATTAACTCATTCTAATATATAATTTATATCTTTTTTATGTCTTTAATTATAATTATAAGTTTTTTATATGAGACTAGACTTCCTCTTATAAATAACCTATTTGTTAGAAAAAGAAACAAAAAATATATTATAGCAAAATCATTACCACCTTTTTTAAACTTGATCAAAAGCTTAATGTTTTTACACAATTGAATTTAGAATAATGCATACTTTGTGAGCCTGTTTGTTTGTTGTGTTTGTTTGTTTGCTTTGTGTGTGAGCTTTGTTGCCAGTGAGCCCCACATCACCACCTGAGGGATCAGGTGGTATGCGTAAATGTATTTCCCGACATAAAAAAAAACAAAACAAAAACAAACTTAAATTACTGCATTCTAGAAACCCGAAGAAGAAATCCGATGTGCTGAATGGCATCCTTCAGATGTAAACAAAATAGGTATAGTTTTAGACAACTATGTGAGTGTCCGAGATATCAACACAGGTGAGCACGTAGCATGCATTGAGCCCGAAGGCAGGACTAGGCTCAAGTTTAGCGGCGGAAAGTGGAGTCCACAGGGACATAGTCAGGTACTAAAGTTATATACTTATATTGTGTTTTGAAATTCTTTTATCGCTAGCTTCTTGTATAATATTTACAATACAGTGGACCCCCGGTAATCCTGCGCCCCCTGTAATCCGACATGCCTACTGTTGCGTTGAATGTAGAAACACAAACATTTTTTTGACAAATCTTCATGAATTTAAGATAGTACATGATTAAATAGGTTGCAACTTGCAACACGTACGCGCCGCCACTATACTGTATTGTGCTCGACGCGCTTTGTTTTGATTTTTTATTGCTTAATTTGAATTTGACCACATGTGATGTGTGGTGGAATGGATAGAGAAGAAAATATTTTCCATGAAATGTCTGACGAAGACATTATAAACGAAATTTTTAGTTCTACAACAATAATATTATCTAAATCTGGGAGATGACTACATAATTGCAACTTCTCCGCCGACCGCAAGTGACAGCACAAAATGCGATTAACGCATATGAGCTGCTTTTTTATTTACTAAATCCGACATACATATGTACATAGTATGACTTATAATTCAGTTAGAAACGTATTATTTTGATCAGTAATTGTCGGATTACCATTTACAAGTTACTCTTTTCTCTTAGAAAAATCCGGACTAGAGAGGGTTTTAGCCAGTACTCTATATTTGATATTATGTTATACATATGACATATAGAATGTTATCATTGGATCTGTAATTTGTCGGATTATAAGGTACTCTTTTGTAAACATTTCCGGACTATAGGGGGTTTAAGCAGTACTCTATAATCCGACAAATTCGATAGTCCGACACTGCCCTGTAAAACGTTTGTTGGATTACCGGGGATCCACTGTATTAATTTTATGCTATTGGTTGCTTCCCAATACAAACTTTCATCCCCATTTTCACCCTCTTAAGGGATGATTTCCGGGATAAAAAGTATCCTATGTCATATATGGTATGTATGTATGGTTCAGTAGATCCAGAGTTTACCATGTGCAAAGTCACAAACTCACAAACTTTAAGTCTTTATAATATCAGTATAGATAATATTTTCATACTTGTTCGCGATGAACAAAAGAAAGATTTGGATATCTTTTCAAAGATTTATATTAGGTCTGACTTAATAGAATTCCAACGATTTTTTATATGTGTTGTGCAGGTGTCGTGTGCAAGAAGTAGAACGAGTGTTGCATTAGACACTAGATGATTGACGTAGTGCGTGACGAAGTTGTATTTGAGTAGTTTGATTGGTTGAGTGTATGGCTCGATTCAATAAATATAATAGCGCCTTATGCTAAAGTTATTAGGGTCGACGATAGGAAATCTGGTGTCGTCAATACATTTTAGCATTTTTCCTGTGCATATGTGGATGCTTATTTAGGCCTTTTTATATTGCATATAATCAATTTTCTTTGTATTTTTGTTTGAAGGATAAATTTATAAAAAAAAAAAGAGAAAATACTATTATTTAGTTTTGAATTAAAATAAATAGGTAAATTCTACATTTGTATAGAAAAATGACTTTATTACTGTTAGTACTATAGTTTCAAAACAAATGCCTAAATAAATTATAAACTATTAATTAAAGGCATTCAATTTTTTTTTAAGAATTTATTATCAATGAATTACAAAATAAATTTAGGCCCAATTCACACTGTCTAAATCATGAGTTGTTTTTTTTTAATTCATAAATAATAATGATTATAGTATATCATCATAAATTGAAATATTTTGTTACAGTTTGCCGTGTTACAAGATACACATATAAAATGCTTCGACACACGGACAGACTGCAACAAACCCGCCTGGAACATTGACAGTGCTCACAGACAACTGGCCAGAGATATAGACTTCAACCCAAACAGGTACAAGAAAACCTATTCTCATCATTTATGTCTCTAGCAACACAATATAATCCCGGGGGAGAAGCCAACTCCTACCGGGCGCGTCCCCAGGTGGCGGATAGGGGCATGCCACCCGCTTAGAGGGGCGGGTGGTACCGGAGAAATCCGGCGCGGACCAAATGGTTTGGATGGGGCCGCTCGTCTAGGCCTCGAGCCGAAGACGTTGCGGCCACCGGTGGTGGGACCGCTTGGTCCCACAACCGGATGATGGGTGCCGGTTGCGGGACTGTGGTCACAGGCCCGCATCCGGCGGAGGGGTAGGCCGCGGCGGGAGAGGAGTGCCGGTATTTCGGTGCGCCGTTCTCCCTACCTTCCGCGGCCTAGACGGGGCCGCCACCGTTTGATGGCGGACGCGGTGGGGTTGCAGGGGAAGAGGAGTGTCGGTGTTTCGTTGCCGCTCTCCCTGTCCTCTGCAGCCGATTGGAGGTGGCCCACTTCGGTGGGCGGTGTTTCGGTTTTATGGGGCTGCTCCGGGTACCTCTCTGACGTAGCAGAGTTGACTGTGGAGCAGCCCCATTGGTTTGGTGGTCTGCCTAGTATTTAGGCAGACCTGCCGCCGGGGCGCCGTAGTAGTTATGCGCAAGCGATCCTGCGGCGTCCCACTAAGGCGGGGGGAAGGGATGTCGGGTTTTACTGGGTAGTACCGGCTCTTCTAGCCGGTGAGCCCCACATCACCACCTGGGGGATCAGGTGGTATGCGTAAATGCATTTCCCGATGATAAAAAAAAAAAGAAAAAAAAAGTAACACAATATAATTCATACTTCCATACTAATATTATAAATGTGAAAGTGTGTTTGTTTATTTGTCCTTCTTTCACGTCGAAACACAGTCACTTTTTTTGTGTGGAGATAGATGGAAGGCTGGAGAGTAACATAGGCTACTTTTTACCGCGGGGGATTATCTCATTCACACGGGATACACGGGTATTACCAATTATCCCCCCTTTAATGGATACCCCCTTAAAGGAGTATTTATGTTACAGACAGTTTCATTTGGCGAGTGCTGGCGATGACGCCGCACTGAACATATGGGACTACAGGAATGGGAAAGAGCCTATATTTACTAGATCTGATCACTCTCACTGGTGAGCTCTTTAAATAATTTCAGACGATATAATTATTAGTTTACATGTGTGTGTATGTGTATATATATGTTTATTACCTGAATGCGGAAGCCCAAAGGAGGGTTCAAATTCAAAAAAATATTCAGCACTAGCATTGATATCAGATGATATTGATAGCAGATGACCCAAAACCAAATTCTTAGGTTTTACATATTAGTATACTCTTACAACGCAGTTTTTGTATTTTTTCTCAGAAATGAGATATTTTCCCGCGGTAAAAAGTATCTTATAGGTTGACCTGGATAACCAGCTATCAATCACAATACCAGATTTCATCAAAATCCCTTCAGTGGTTTTTCTGTGATGCGGTAACAGACAGACGGAGGCAAACTTCTAAAAACTATAGATTCGGCCTCTGTATCGATAATAATGTTTGTTTCAATAAGATTTTCCAAAAAATATTTAATGTACAGATTCGGCTTACTTACAATTTTATTATAAGTATAGATGTATAGATTAAATGATTACAATTTTTTACTGAACGTCATGAGTCTACTACCAGTTCGGAAAGAAGAAGCCTCAGACCTGAGAAGAACTGGTGAAACAAACTCAGCAGACTTTTGTTATCTTTTTTATAAAAAGAGACAAACACATAAATATATAAAATCAAGCCGGCGAGACACACACGCACACTTTTTAGGGTTCCGTACATCAAAAGGTAAAAAAGGAACCCTTATAAGATCACTCTCTTGTCCATCCGTCTGTCTGTCCGAGTGTCACCACCGGGTTTGTCAGGAACGAGTGCACCTAGCAAGTTGAAATTTATACCAGATACTAAGGTACCTATTAGGTATATAAAAATCAAGCTCCTGAGTCAACACGATAAAAAAATATGGGAAAATTTATATTTTAGCGAAAACTTGTAACTTGAAAACATGTTTTTTTATTTTTATTATTATTACATAGGGTGTGGACAGTGAGGTACAACACGTACCACGAACAGCTGCTACTTACAGGCAGCTCCGACGCGAGGGCCTTGCTCACGGCCGCCGCCAGCGTGTGCGAGGGGGACGACGATGACAAAAAGGGACCGGTGTATGTATAATAAATATATATAATAATTACTATTTATTGTATACATACACTGACCAAGAAAGACGTCTGATGATGAGGTCTTTGTGTACTTTCCTAAACTCTGCCTCTTTATAATATTAGTATAGATTGAAACTAGTATATTATGCTTATTATTATAATATACAAACAAACATTTGGGTCTAGACTTTAGACTGTAAACCTTTTTCACACAGACAAACACCTAAAATACATATACAAGCTTTCGCCTTTATAACAGTAGTTCAACGTGTCACATTCTTTGCAGTCAAATACATGCTGTTGTAAAAAAAGTATCAGTAATGCTGATTATGTAAATTGAACAAATTATCCAGTCTAGAAGACGGCGTGCTGCAATCATACGAGCAGCACGAGGACTCTGTGTACTGCGCGGAGTGGAGCGCCGCGGAGCCCTGGACCTTCGCCTCGCTGAGCTACGACGCGCGCCTCGTGCTCTCCCGGGTGCCCAGACATTTTAAATATAAGATATTGTTGTGATATGTTATATATGTGCACTTGTATTAATGTGTTTTGCTTTCGGAAGTGACAGATATAATGATATGTATAATGTATGAAATAGAGAATGGATTGTTTCTTTGCCAGCCATAATTTAAATATGGCGGAAAGGCGCGACAGAGACAAAACGAATGTGCGGGCAGAAATCTTCTGTATTCATCAAAATACAATTAATGAACATATATATTTATACTGTGTTATAATTCTTTTACATTTCATCAATAATTTTAAATTGGAGTAAGACAGGTGTTGGCCGCGCATTTGCTTTCTCTTTCTATTGGTTAATTTCATGAGAGTATCGCTCAGTCCATTCTCTGTCTATAGTTCTGTTAAATAATAAAGATAATATATAACTACTATACTATAGTCATTTATATTATTATATTCTCAGATTAAAGGAAAATAATAAAAAATAAAAAGCCTCAAAAGAATTCTAAAACACAAAAGAATTTTATAAGTTTGAACTTATTTCTGTATAAGATATTTAACATTCCTTTATCCTTATTGATTTAACATTCCTTTTTTATCTATTTCATTTAGTAAAATAAGCTCTATATTAAAAGTATATTATCTGTATTCACCGGGTAATTTCAAGAAAAACATAAATAATACAATATAAATAGACCTTTTATTTACATTTAAAACCTTTCAGCGACGCGTTTGGCAACATTTCTTAAATTACCATACACTTTAGAAGGAGGAGAACCCATGATCAAATTACATATAGCCCTTCTCGCCAGTGCAATATTTTGGTAACTTCCTAAAATATGTATTTTTGAATCTGCCAACACTATCCTAGTTTTTGTTACATTTTCTATTGTGAACTTTGTTCTTCCAGCTTTTCCAGCTAATCTGCCTATAGCTCTACCTAAATGGTCTCCTTGTAATGTTTTCACATCCTTTATTTCAAAGGACTCTACAAATAAATCATCTAATCTCAATAATGCAAGTGCGTCTTCAACATCAAATCCATAAATAAATGCCTGAAAAGAGTGATATTATAAAATTATTTATCTTCAAGCACATATTACATTATATTTTTTTCTTATAAGTAGAAAAAAACAGAGTTTTTTTTGAAGTATCTAATAAAGGAAATTACAATTAAAACAGTTAAATATATAGCAAATTTTATTAATTTTGTAATTATTGCTGCATATTGCATTAAGGAAATAAGTACTTACTCTAACAAAATCAGCAGCTTTTTGTAAATTGGCTATATCTTTAGTTTCTGGCCCAACTTTGATTTCAACATTACGACTTTTTGTGTTGAAACGAACTTGAAGTAGAAGATGTTCAACAATTGGTGTGAAAATCTTTAACCAATTCTCTCTTAATGGTGTGTATCTGCAAAAAAATACAATGTTATAATAATGAAAGACTAGCGACTCACCTTTGTTTCCCTTAGGGCTCATCCCTAGTGAAAAACAAAAACAAACCTATCTATAGTAACTAGCCTATGTTCTATTTCAGACTAATTTATCTCTGTGCCAAATTTTACCCAGATTCATTAAGCCGTTTTGTTCATCCATCCTTACAAACTTTCACATTTATAATATTAGTATGGGTTTTTGTCTTTGAAAAGGTTAAACATATTGTTGTTATGATTAAGATTTAACTTTTAAGGTTATACCTGTGAGCTGGTACAGCAACTTTCCTCATATTAACCTTACTTTCATTTGGCTCAGCATTTTTTTTTATTTTCTTTAACTTTGATTGACGTTTAGATTTCTTCTTCTCATTATTTTGTTGTTCTACATCCATGCCCTCACCAGATTCTGGAGCGACATTTTTTTTTACATTTTTGAGTTTCACTGGGTTTTTGGCGGGCAAAAATTCGTCCACATTAATATTTTCAACCTCCATTTTTTATTTGCGATGTTGTTTTATTAAATTAGAGAAGAATAAACTGTGAAAATGTTATTTTTTTGTTGGTAAATTATTTATCACATGGTTTTTGACATTTACCACAGAAGAAAGAAAGTAATAGCAAATTATCAGTTGACAGTTGTACGCTAGATTAGAAGAAGTATCTTTTTCATGCCTTATAAAAATAATGTGAACTACATTTTAAGTTTCAATTATTATTTGGACTGAACTGAATTGTGAATATTTATTATTTTATTGCTTATAATTAAATTAATTTATCGCGAAAAAGAGAAGGAACGTTTATGTCAAAAAATTAATGGAGGTGTTATGTCACATCTCCTAGACGAGTTTTTATTATTATGAACTAAGTCTAAGTAAGGTAAATATTAAAGTAAACAGGTAAGGGAAATATTAAGAAAGACTAACAAGTACTTACTTACATATTTTTCTAGATTCCATAGGAGATGACTACATTAATAAGATTTGTGAAAATCCCTGCCCAAAGTGGTAAAATAGCAGGATGCACGGTCATCCAGAACAGGAGCATAATGGGCAAGGCCCTCAGAGAATCACTGCCTCCACGTCCACCGAAACCTGCACCCTTTGATTACGTTAATAAAAACTATGGTTGGTTACGTAGTCTGGTTGACCGTACCACTCACAGATTCGATGAAAACACTAAAGTCGTAGTTGTGGAGGGACCAGTAGCCGCTGGTAAGACGGATTTCGCTAAGAACCTCGCCGATGATCTTGGTATGAAGCATTTTCCTGAAGCGAACATGGACATTCATTATGTTCGCCCCAACGGCATCGACATCCGTATATTTGACAAAGACATCCCAGAAGACACTAGAACTTTTGATCATATTAATTTTAACCTCTCACCAAACAACCGTCTGGCTGGAAACTTCCAGATTATGATGTATATTGCAAGGTATCATCAATATATTGATGCTATTGCTCATCTTTTGAATACTGGCCAGGGAGTAGTTCTTGAAAGGTCACCATACTCTGACTTCGTGTTCCTGGAAGCAATGATATCCCAGGATTATATAAGCAAGGGAATTAAATCGGTTTACTATGAACTGAAAGCTAACACTATTGAAGAGTTGATGAGACCTCATTTGGTCATCTACTTAGATGTGCCTGTGGATAAGGTATGTCTTGGTTTTGAATTAACAATCTTCATTTATCAAAGAATATATAAATAAAACAAGCCTATTTATTATAGGTGCAAGAAGCCATCAAGCGCCGTGGCCTTAAACATGAGTTGGAAGGCAAAGCCCTAACCAAACCTTTCCTTAATGAAATGGAACGGCAATACAAGAACAAATATCTCCGAGATATTTCTACTCATGCTGAATTATTGGTTTATGACTGGACTGGTGGTGGTGATGTAGAAATTGTGAGTAAAAAATTGACCATAATCCAATTAGGTATACAATTTTTTCAAATATGTTAATCTTTTTGCAAATGAGTAAGAAATATTAAATGCATAAGTAAAACACCCATAGGTAATCTTATCCCATGGCCTTCCTTTTTTACATAATATTACATATCTTAGGCTTTATATGTTATCAAAAATATTACTTTTTGTCTAATTATGTAGTCATAGCAAAGTACTTATTAGAAATGTTTGCAAATTATTCAGAAATAAGTATGGGGTCTCATCATAAACAAAGAAAAATTACTTCAAAAAAATCTCAATGTATGATGTGATATGTATTGATTTGTTATTAAAGCTATTTAATTAAACAAAAGATAAAAAATAGATCCCAAAAAGTGGTAAAATTGTCTTAAAAAATATTTTAAGTCATGGAAAACAAAATAATGCGCTTGTAAATTAAATTTGGATATCACTGTTAAAAATTATTAAAATCACAGGTTTTTTTCATTCAAATACAGGACGAATTTATAAAATAAAACAGTTTAACTATTTGCAAACAGAAATTAGAGCTGTCCAACTTCTTTGTATAGGATGAGGCCTCTGTACTAGTGTACTATGATACAATGGTTTAACAAAATATTACAGGTAGTAGAAGATATAGAGCGTCTCGACTTTGACAAGTATACAGAACGTGAAGAGCCTAAAATGAAGGACTGGAGGCTTCCCCGAGAAATTGAATGGGCTGATAAGCGCATGGTCTTCACAAATTATAAGAGCTATCTGATGAACCTCTTCAACATCCCTCGGTTCGATGTTCCTGAATTGATCACAGATGCTGATGAGGGTTATGCTAGAGACAAGGTATACTTTATGTAGCTGTATTGATAATGTCTATGATATCACATATCTTTCTGGAGTTTATTATAATTTGAAAATAAAATCACTTCATATTTTAAAACAAAGTCCTCTGCTGCGTCTGTTTGTCTGTCTGCTCGCGATAAACTCAAAAACTACTGCACCAATTTTCATACTGTTTTCACCAATAGATAGAGTGGTTCTCGAGGAAGGTTTTTAGTATTTAATTTGTAAAGTTTTTGTATACATTGTCTAAAATATAACGATATTTGTTGGAGGTGTCGTAAAAAAATAAGCCATCTGAGAGCTTTCAATGAAAACGCTGCCTAAACCCTTTAAGATATAACAAAATAATTTATGGTGGAATTTAAGGATAAGTAAAAAAATTAAAGTTATTCATAAAAGTACCAAAAAACCTGTTTTTTTTTTAAATTAAACACACTCTCAAAGTACAAAATCAAATCGATAAATAATATTTTTTATTTATTTTGTCATTTCCAGGTTATTTATGACCACCCAGCCTTTCAATATATCGAGGGCTACCAGGATGAAGGCGGTCAGCTCCTGAAAAACAAACTGCCCAAATACACTGAGCATATTTAAATTTCGGGGGAATAATGTAGAATATGTAATATATAATTAAAAATATAAATGTTGAATGTTGTTTTATTATTAGTAGTTTTTAACTGACTTTCGCAAAGGAGGTTCTATGTTCGTCAGTATGTATGTATTTTTTTTTATATAACTATAAGTCAATAGCTTATATAGTAGAGGATACGAAGTAAGTGTGACCTTCGCCCATCTGCCTACCAGATAAAAAATATATTTTATCAAATTAAATATGTTGCTGAACATAATATATAGTAAGAGGGTTGCCATTAAAAATGTGTTCATGGCTATTATTAAAATGATAAAAATTAATATTTTTTTTCAAATTTCACCAACTTACATACTGAATAAATCAAAGTTCAATAGAAAGCTACAAATACACAATATGTAACAACAGCTTAGGTCGCCTAACTTTTTCTGGTTACCGTGTATAAATAGGGGAGTTGATATTAGTAATTACACTCCTCAGCAACCTAGCTATTAAATAATATAATTATTATTATGTATGTACATATTATGCTTTCTATTTGCCTTTGATTCGTTTAGCAAGTCATTCAAATTAAAAAAAAATATCTTAAAATTTCATATTTTTAATTTATAATAGCCATGAACATATTTTTAATGACAACCCTTTTGGTATATGTTCAGCAACATATTTTATTTGATAAAATATAATTTTCATCTGGTAGACAGATGTGAAAATCGAGCTTTCTTCGTATCTTCTATACATGTAATAAAATTGTAACGAAGCCGAATCTGTACATTAAATATTTTTTGAAAAATCTTATTGAAATAGACATTATTATCGATACAGAGGCCGAATCTATAGTTTTTAGAATTTTTGTCTGTCTGTTACCGCATCACGGAAAAACCACTGGATGGATTTTGATGAAATTTAGTAGTGATAACTGGTTATCCGGTTCAACATATAGGATACTTTTTACCGCAGGAAAATGTCTTATTTCTGAGAAAAAATACAAAAACTGCAATGTAATTAATATGTAAAACCTAAGATTTTAGTTTTTGCTCATATGAACGCGGGCGGAGCCGCGGGCAATGCTAGTTATGGTATTAAATTAATAGGGAACGGATTGACTATTTCATAATAAATGTGACGCGGTTACATAAAAATAATAAGATATAAATAAAAAAACTTTTTAAATATCTCCATTTTATTTTAATAATAAAAATACAAAACTATATAACAGCACCTTACACTGCCTTATCAATTAAAGTAAAACAAGTTATTATTAAAAATACCAATATAAATTTTAAGGCAGATTCTAAATTTTATTACAAAAATATTATTTTTTAAACAATAATTCTGGCCATTGAATTTAAATAACATTTGGAATGTCAAATTATAAAATGAAGTCAAAACAATATAAGCCTTTAATATAGATATTGAACTCCATATATATGGATGCTATATAATAAATGCATTTTACAAAGCATCAGTATATATTATTTAATATTTATACATTATTTTATTTATTTGTAAGTTTTTATTACAAATATTTTTTATTGAATTTCACAGATAATAAAATAAATTACATACAAATGTAACAAGAAAATCACGATAATTATCTGTACAGAATACTGAACTTTATTGAGGTATGGCAATATTGCACAATTAAATTTAAATTCGGCTTTTTTTCTAACATAAACATTAAATTCATATAATATTATCAAATATTTCATATAAAATCATATTAAAACATAATTTACAAATCACCTACAATTCCCACTTAAAAATTTAACAGTTAAAAAAACTAAAAAAAACACAACTTTAAAAGTGACATTCAATAGAACAGGGGTTGTCTACAAAATATCTCATTTGCATTACTACATATTAAGCATTTATAAATGTTGCATATCTTATCTTATAGTTCATTAGCGTTAAGAAAATAGTGAGTCATCGTTGTCCACCGACCTAGCCACGCCCCCCGACCAATTAGGTTGCTTAAAATTATAAAGTTAAGTTCGCAATGACCAGTGAAAGGCAGATTTTCGTAAGAACAAAATTCTTTTATCTATACTAATATTATAAAGAGGTAAAGTTTATGAGGTTATAGAGGGTAATCCCTGTTCCTACTGAACCGGGTTAAATGAAATTTGGTAAGAAGATAGTTTGAGACCCTGGGAAGGACATAGGATAGTTTTTATCCCAGAAATCATCCCTTAAGAGGATGAAAGTTTGTATGGGGAAGCAATCCAGGGACTAACCCGAGCGAAGCGAGAGTGAGTCCCTAGTAATAAATATAAACGGAGATTCTAGTGATACTAATTAAATATATTATTAATGACTTTATTCTGATTTGAGATAATTAAGTTGATTATCTCAAATTAAAACGTCATTAGCATCTCAAATCAAGATTTGAGATAATCATTATACTTAATCTTTTGAAATATATTTCAATTGAATTTTTACTCCACTGTGAATGAACCCTTATCTGCCGTTGCACTTGATGACCCTCTATTTTCTTAACGCGAATGGACTGTAATTGAGACAAATACAATAAACAAGGCTTCTTTACATATATACTCGAGGTACTCTCTCCGTGTAAATGAGCGTTAATATAGTAGTTACTAGTTAAGCAACGTTTATAACAGAGCTTCATTTCACACATACTCAGGTTTCCATGGAAACGTACGCTTCGTAGATGATGGGCAAAATAAGCGAAAAAAAATAAATGGCATTTTTTAGCATTCATAATGTAGCACCTAATCAATTCGAGTAAATATATTTAAGGATTGATTTTATCTTCAAGGTTCTATATAAATTACAAAAATATTAATATACTTTTTAAATTGAATTTATTTTCAAGTCTAACTTCGTTCGTTAACGTTCTTCAACAATTGAAAGCTTAAAAAAATCAATTTATACATAGTTACAAAAATTATTTCACTCTAAAAGGCGAATTTTTCGAAAAATATAAATTAAAAAAAAAGGTTTACAACTTATGAACATATTGCGTGACATACACACAAAAAAGTACACCCGAAACATGGAAACCGTGTGTGCGTGAAAATTGGTATATATTACTTTAATTTAAGGCCTGTGGACACCGTGTTTTTAACGCGTCTATAAAACATATTATATGACAAATTTACGTCATTTACAAATAAACTAAGTTGTAAAACCTAAACAAATGTAGATTTCATGACATGCATCGATAGCGCGTTAAAACCTCATAGTGTGAATAGGCTATAAATATATATATATATATATATATATATATATATATATATACATATTTCTACATATCGAGTAAATAGGGCGAGTCAAGAGCGCCGAGGCCCGCCGCCACGCCGCCTTCATTGGCATCGGCCAGTTTAGTTCGCAGCATATGGCCCGCTTGGCGGTTACAGTAGATTTTATCTTTTGTTCTGTGTGATATAGATAATAAATGGCTTTAATACTTTCTTAGATTTATACCTAAAATTAAATAAAGTTGCCATATTCAGTTATAAGACTTATTAAAATTATAAGAGATGATTAAAATTAACAGTTATTGTAAATTGTAAGGTACTTTGGTGTCATTTTTGTATTTCTGAAATCATTTTGTAATTTTGTGGGTTTATAAAGCGCGCTGGGCGCTGTTTATAACAACTATATATTGACCTTTGAGACGTCTAAAACCTTAGTCTCTCCCGTGACCATGATTGCTGTAAAGCATTCGAAACGTCGGGAACCAAACAACAAAATAAATCCGCAAAGATAGTTTTATTTAAAAATGGCATTAAATTAATATAAAAAACGCTTTTTATTTAAAAATGGCATTAAATTAATATAAAAAACGCTTTTTAAGTGATAATTACATTTTGAGGTGTTTTTATTTATAAAAAATACTTCTTTTACACACATGCTTTCAGAAATATTAATGCTAAGTACCTATATACCTAGTTACAGTTAGGCAATGAGGTCTCAACAAAGAAAAAAAGTACAAATAAATATTAATAGATGGTATTATATGTATCAATTTGTTATAGTTTGCTTGATATATTATATAAATAAATGAAATAAAGAAAAAATAAATAATAATAGAATAAAAATTCTACAAATTACAACAGAACCATCTAGACAAAATGAACTAATATGACAGTTTGTATAGTGTTTTTTTTACTAGTAGTAAAAAAAGATAAAAAAAGGATCAGAAAATTATACTTTAACAAAAAAAAACAAAATATACTGCAAAAAAACAAACATACCCAATAATAACTCCGAATATGCCCAGTTCGGAGACGAGGTCGGTGACGGGCGGCGGCACGGCCGCGCCGGGACGCACCACGTACCCGGACACCTGGAGTGACATGCCATATGTATAATATTAGGGTAACTCCCTCGGTGGTGTAGTGGCTAGCATGTACGGCTGCACACCCGGAGGTCCTGGGTTTGAGTCCAGGTCGGGTCAAGTTTAGTTATCGAGTCTTTCTGTATAGTAAGCCTCAGTAACAGCTCGGAGATGTAAATTTGGCGATGTTTCACCCCCGTGCCACACGGAACACGTATCACGTCGGTTCTGTACCTTAACTCTCACCGGTCGTGTCGTCAGTCGTCATCGACATGGTCACGTGACGTTTAATTTACAAATTTTAATTTAAGATTAAACAATTATTTTAATATCCAAGAATAACAACTATTTGTTTATAGTCTTAAGTTTTAAGTTTTCACTTCTGTCGGCAGTCCTCATGACTGCTTTTTTTCTTAGCTTGGGGGTAGAATTTGTCGCTTCTAAAAACGAAAAGTAAACGTAAACATAGCGATGAAAGTTTGTATGGGGAAACAAGCTAGGGACGAACCCGAGCGAAGCGAGGGTGAGTCGCTAGTTTATACTAATATATTCAGACAATCAACAAATCAAAAAGTTAAAAGAAAGATCTCACCAGAGGCGGCAGTATCCTCTCCATGAGTATGTACGCGGCGCGCTCGCGGCTGTGGCGCATGCGCAGCAGCGCCGCGCGCACCTCCGCGCCGTACAGGTTGTTGCCGCCGCCCTCGCGCTGCGGCTTCAGCACGAACCTGCACACACATACAAAACAAAATTGACAAAAAATTATGTGTGTGCGCGTGTGTGTGTATGTGCATTACTTCTTCACGCTTAGTTAGTTTAGTATATATATATATATAGACCGGTAGCCAAGGGTGAAATAGCAGAAGTAAGCCGTTTCAAACAAACACAAAAAGCATAGATATACAATTTTTAAATACGTATTAATGCAAAAAGATATAGATATATATATATATATATATATATATATATATATATATATATATATATATATATATTACCAATATTACCAAAAGAGCATTTATATCTTTAAAAAATTAAATGTATGTAAAAATAGGAAAATAAATTTTAAGGTAAGACGTCTTTTATGGACCCTTCGCCACTGGTATAGACCATGATCTGGAGAAACACATGAGTTATTCAGCCCTATTTTAACGTCCCACAGCTGGGCACGGGCATCTTTTCAATACTAGAGTCCACCACGCTGACCAAGTGCGATACCTAAAATACAACATATACCCATATACCAACTTTGTACTATTATTGTGCGAAATGCTAAAGTTTTTATGTTTGTGTATTTGTTACTCATTAACGCTAGAAAGGCTGGACGGATTTGGGTGACATCTACATGTATAAATAAAAATGAATCACCAAAAAGCGAATGCATGGTGTTTCGTGCCAAAGGAAAATCTCAGCCCTCAACTCCACCACCCATTAAGTTATACGGTACCCCGTTAAAGAGGGTGTTTCAGTATAAATACCTAGGTCATGTGATATCCTTTGACCTGAAAGACGATGCTGATATAGAGAGAGAACGCAGGGCATTGTCTGTGAGGGCGAATATGATCGCACACAGGTTCGTTCGTTGTTCCACCCCTGTTAAGGTGACCCTCTTTAGAGCTTACTGTACTTCTTTTTATACTAGCAGCCTGTGGGTCGATTACACGCAAAAACAGTACAATGCCCTGCGTGTTCAGTACAATAATGCATTCAGGATGCTGATGGGACTGCCTCGTTGGTGCAGCGCGTCGGGTATGTTCGCCGAGGCGCACGTAGATTGTTTCTACGCTATCATGCGCAAACGGTGCACATCCCTGGCGCGCAGGGTTCGGGCCAGTTCCAATAGCATCCTGAGGGCATTTGCTGACAGGTTCGATTGTCAGTATTTGAACCATTGCCAAATGGTGCACATGCTGACAAATCGAGTCTGTCTTAGATAAGGTTTAGGATTAAGTAGATTAAATGTGTACTAACATTAGGTTAAACTGTGTCTTTACTAACAAAATATGATCCTTGAGGGTTGAAATAAATGATATTATTATATTATTATAAAATGTATGTACGCGCATAACTTCTGATCGAATGCACCAAATTGGATATATTTTTTTCTTTGTGTTTGTTATTGTCAAGAAAAGCTTTGTATAGAAAAAAATTAAAACATTTTTTTTTACTAAAATAAGATTTTTTTAAATCTCATAATATGAAAAGTGAGCCAGTGAAATAGTTTTTATCTCGGAAATCATCTCTTAAGGGGGTAAGAGTGGGGATGAAAGTTCATATGGGGAAGAAGCAAGTAGTGAGTTTAGTATATAGATAAACTACGACCTGGAGTAAACAAATAGGCTGCTGTTTGACACCTGAGGTAAATCCACCCTCGCGAGGATAAATTGCTAGCATTATATTACCTTTCAGCATCAGCCAGCGCCATATCCACCGCCCTCTCCCCACTCTCATCGAAGTCCAAGGAATAGAGACCAGTGAAGATATCCCGGACCTTCCCCGTGGAGACACCAGCACCCATGAACTTCTCCAACACGCCAGGAACTGCTAACGCTTGTTGCACCTTTTTGGTACCAGCCAATTGGTATTGGATTGAGGGGCATTTTATCGATCTGTAGGTAAAATTTGGCAATTTTTAAAAATATATTTTTGTGTATATACATACATTAAGGAATCTAAATAAAATATGTAAATAAATATGTTGGGACATTTAACACACAGCGCCATCTAGTTCCATGGTAAGCTACGAGGCTAGTGTTATGGATACCAGATTAGTTGATACACTACACATATATAACTTTAAATACATACATATTATAAACACCCATGACTGGAGTACAAATATTCGTGCTCATCACACAAGTGAATGCGGGACTCGAACCCAGGACCACTGGCACAGTAAGGGTCACTACAAACTGAGCCAAACGTGTCGTCAAATGTGTCAAGCTCAGACTAAGGAATAATATAAACAGAGTGTCATAGAACTAAACATGAAGCCAAACAATGTTTTAAAAGAGAATACAGATATAAATAGAATATTCATTACTTTGATAAATAAATATTAATATATTAAAGTAGCTGACGTTGAAATATATATTTTTTTATATTTTTTTTTATACTTACGTAGATCTCTCAACACGTAGCCTCGCCTCCCACTCCCTGGTGGAGGGATACTGAGCGGGTTCGTATCCCGACCTGTAGTACACCACCGCTACCGGGTGTCCTTCTCTGTTGAAACATAAATGTATATATATAAAGCATTAGAATTTGTTTTCTTTGTTTGTTTAAACTTAATATTTGTGTTATTCTTTTTACGTTTTATAGTTTTATTTATCTAAAATTATATAAGACCTATATGGGCGCCGGGAAAGGGGTAATGCCATGAAGGAAAATGACGATCTCCTGACCGATTCCGGCCACGGCGGCCAATCTCATTGAGACGAGCCAACTGCGCAGGAGATATTATAGTGCACAAGTGTACGCGCAGACACAAGTGCACTCTCTATTCCTGTCACTCTCATACTCCAGTGGGACGACTGTTCGACACGACCGACACGATGAGTTAAGGCGCAGGACCGACGGCTTTACGTGCTCTCCGAGGCACGGGGGTGAAACACCGCCAACTTCCCAACTCCGGGCTGTTACTTAGGCTTAATATACAGAAAGACTCAATAACTAAACTTGGCCCGACCCGCGACTCGAACCCAGGACCTCCGGGTGTGCAGCCGTACATGCTAGCCACTACACCACCGAGGCAGTATGAAGGAAAATATGTATACAGAAAAAGCATTGATATATAGAAATAAAGATCACATTTCCTAACAAATATGTCTTCAAAAAGTGGCGTCGACATGTGGACGTTAAATCAAACCAAAAAGTAAAATTCAAAAATCAAAAGTTCTAATTGTCTATACACAAATTCGAACACACACCACATAAAGTAGTTTTTAGACGAAACAACGTTTTTTTTTATAAAATACCTTACATCGTTATATAATTGTAAAAAAAATATCCAGCTCCACAAAAATAAAATTTAATATAACATTTTTTTAAATATCATAGCGATACAGATACTTTGAACGCCCGCTTCTTCGCGCGCTTGGCGTGACGTCAAGTATATAGTAACAGAACCAGTGTTACCAATTTAGCGATATTGTCGCTAATTAACAAAAAAATAAAAACCGACTTCAAACAAAAGCACTAAAAAGTAAAAAATAACTGATTGGTAGTTTTCATTTACTATACATACCTAATCAAATATTTTCGAAGTCGGTGTGCTTTGCTTTGTATGGGCTGTCACCGATTTCGAAAACATTTGATTAGGTATGTATTTAATAGGTAGGCTTTAATTACTTAGCCAAAGCACACCGACTTCGAAAACATTTGATTAGGTATGTATAGTAAATGAAAACTACCAATCAGTTATTTTTTACTTTTTAGTGCTTTTGTTTGAAGTCGGTTTTTATTTTTTTGTTAAAAAGTTTTTATTTTTCCCTTTTTAGTGTAGACAGTAGTAGCTTAGTAAGGATTCTAAAGTGTTAGGCTTGTCAAATCAAACAAAATAAGCCCAAACTCAAAGTGTCTACTATTAGCCGTTGAAGAGTTCCACCTATCCACCTTCTGGCCTTGCCATCAGATCAGGTCAACAACACCGAACCACTGTACTATCAACGGAAATAGAATTACTTGCAAAGTTTCAAGTCAATATGACAATTAGAAGTAGGTTAAATTCATCATTAGTTGTTCTTCCACCCTTAGGGGTGGTATTTTTTTTTCAAATTTAAATGGGACCAATCTGGAAGTATACCCTTTCAAACAAAACAAAAATTGTCCAAATCGGTTAATAAATGACGGAGTTCTGAGGTAACAAACATAAAAAAAAAACATACAGTCGAATTGAGAACCTCCTCCTTTTTGAAGTCGGTTGAAAATGACTTTTGTTTAAGCAAATTGGCAACACTGGCTCTGTTAATATAAATTTTGACATTTCAACTACTTTAACAATTATTTACTAATTATTTTCTTAAATAAAAAGAAATTACATTAAAAATATGAATATAGGCATTAAATCAATGAGAAAAATTTAAAGAAATAAAATCAAGATATCTGTGGAAAAAAAATATAAAAAAAAATCTAATAGATTTAAAAAAATATATATTTGTGAATTAAAATTAAAAAGTTATTCCTTTAAAGATTAGTTATATAAAACGCCTAGTAAATAATACAATTAATATAATCAACGTATCCTAAAACACACTTACAGCATGAGTTGCTTCTTGTCATTTAGACATGTTTCTTCATAAATTTCATTCAGAGTTTTTCTGTATATCTGAAAGGTAAAGAGTTCATGCAAATGTTAACCAAATGTTGACATAATAATTAATTATAATACTTTACGTTCTGTCTTTTACTTATACGGGACTTGTTGCCTATTTTTTTTAAACTAAATTATGTTGGATGAATGCATTAAATAAAATAATTATTAAAACTGAGAACAATAAAATTAGAGAATATTATGACTAATTGTGTAAAGTGTGAATGAAAGAAAGAATGAGTGAACGGGACAGAACGTGTTCGGTCATTGTTAAAGAAAAGTTCAGTTTCAAAAAGGATGTAAAGACGCAAAAACGGTAATAGATTGAAGGAAAAAAAACATTAACAAGGTTCTACGCCGTTTATTGGTAGTGTTATGTTTAATTTAAATTTAGGTCGTACGACGTTATGAAATTATTCTTGCAAGTGCAACTTTAAAGTTTCATAACTTTTTCATTTGTCGAGATATTTTATTAAATTTTTCATATTTTTGTTATATTTTGCTTAAATTTTCAAAGTTAACTAATAAAAAATTATAAATTTCGCCATTGAATACTGTATGCTAACATATATTTTGGGAAAAATTAATAATAGTTTATGATTGTTGCGATTTGAACTCCACTCACCATAATCTCAGGCCTCCTTTCTGATATCTCAAACTCGTGAAACCTTTGATCGCAAATATTGTACGAGACCTCCTCGACTACAAAGAGTATGACCGCGGAGGAAACACCGAAAAGGTCGTACGCTTCAATTATACCAGAACAAAGACCCGAGAGTGCACGATTTTCTGGCATCTAAAAATAAATATTTGTTAGGAAGAAAAAATATATCTTATATATAAAATTTCCATGTCACAATATTTGTTACCGTACTCCTCCGAAACGGCTTTACCGATTTTTACCAAATTTTATATGCGTATTCAGTAGGTCTGAGAATCGGCTACTATCTATTTTTCATACCCCTAAGTGATAAGGATAAGGGTGGTCCTCCCAGACCCCACCCCAGGGACGAACCCGAGCGGAGCGAGGGTGAGTCGCTAGTATATATATATATATTGCTTGGAAATATTAAGGCAAATTTTACTTTCATGACGTAATTTGCAGGTAATTCTACACAGTTTGTTGTTTAGGTATAATATCAAAACTACTATCATAAATATTAGAGTTTGTATGTGTTTATGTGAACTTTTCACACTGAAACTGCTGAACCAATTTGCATAAACTTTAGTACAAACAGACATTTTTTTATGGTATTCAGTGATAAACGATCAGACAGCCCGCCTGATGTAAAGCGGTACCTGTCGCCCATAACACCTACGATTCATGCACTTAGGTTTTATGTAACAAAAATGTAGAACCGTCGGTGCGTTGTCACTTTGAGGACTAAAATGATATGGCTCTTGCCTGTAATTGCGCTGGCTGCCTTATCGTTCAAACGGGAATACAACAATGCAATCATTGTTACTTGGCGGAAGAAATAGATAAGGGGTTGGTGGTAGTGGAGGAGGAGGTACCCATCGCATACCCCATGCTACAAATACAAAAAGTAACTATTAACCTACCTACACCCTAGTGAAGTGAGAATAAGTCTCTATATATGATACTAGCGACTCACCCTCGCTTCGCTCGGGTTCGTCTCTAGGTACGTTTTGACGGTTGGTATGAAATACAAATCGTTGAATTTCTCGGCTTTTATGTACTATAATATGCATGTATTATACATTTAAACCTTCCTCTTGAATCACTCTATCTATTAAAAAAACGTATCAAAAGTAGTTTTAAAGATCTAAGCATACATAGGTACAGACAAATGTTCTATGGGGAGTTTAATTTCAAAAATCATACGTACATCTTTAATTAAATCACCATGTGCCAACTGACGTAGAATATAGCTGAAAAAAAATGAAAAAAATATATATATATGTATGTATATATATATATATATATATATATATATATATAGTAAAATGAAATAATTTTCTAACACTCGACAAAAAATAATAAATTTTACCAAATACAATGACATGACAAAACATGAAAGAACTATAACGTTTCGTTTTTGATATTTCACAAACAAAAAAGAAAAAAATACTTATTATTTTTTGTACGAGTTAGTTTACTATGGCATATATTTTCATACAACATACATACAGGCCACAAATTACAACGCATGCTAAAAACACGCAAAAATATCTATCAATTTATTATTATGTTAACTACATTAAGATATCCACATTAATATATCGCTTAAAAATTCGTGGATAAAAAATGTAGCAAATTAAGAAAAAAAATATCAAAAAAACAAGGTTATGCTAAAACATAAGATTTTTTGTCAAATATAATAATTTCATTCGACAATTTCTTCTTATTTAAGTAATTCGTGCTTATAATTAAAGATTTTTTTATAATAATTGAAAAAATCCTTCACAACCTTGTATAAAAAAATAATCGATATAATAATGTGGATGTCTAAATCACATTATGACGTAACAATCCACTGATTACATGCAAATTATTCCTTCTAGAAACTATAAAAGCTATAATTTAACATTTTACATAAAATTACTCAAATTTAAACTAATACATTTTAATTTTATACATAAAAAAGTGTTTTTTTATCATGATAAGAAAAGTCGTATAATAACGTATAACGTAAGACTTATGGATTTTTATCATTCCTATAAAAATGGCAATTTTTTCAAACTATTTAACTTTTATAAAGATAAAAAAATCACTTTTAAAAATATATAATAATAATTGAGTTTTTGGTTATTTATAATCTATGAATTCGAAATTGACTTCCATAATAACGATCACATATTACGATAATTTGTTTTAGTTTTATTATATATATTTTTTAAGTTTGACGAATATGTATACAAAAATTTGTTTGCCGAGAGTTTTTGTAAATCATCTTAAATCTAAGATTCAGTCATAAATTACACTACGTATAGCAGAGTTTTTACCACAAATAACCACCATATCGTTTCGTCCTTTGTTTTTTTATTTATATTTTTTTTAATCTGTCAACACAGAATCGTTAAACTAGCATGTATAATTGGACAAAATTAGAGGAGAAAATTAAAAAAAAAACACAATTTTATTTTTCGACCGACGCGAGCCAAGCTCAGGGAACATCTCTCAAGAAGGACAAAACTAAATCGCTTTTATACATGCACGCCAAACTTTCAATAACTATTTAAAAACTCAATCATTACATCTAAACAACCTTAACCATAGATTATTAACTCTACCCAAAAAGCATGCCAAAAAACAAACATTCAGTGCAAAAAAAAAAGGCGAAAGCGTGCATAGACAACAAGCATTAGTGAAGAAATGAATGCGTGCGTGTTTTTAAAGCAGCCACATGAGAGATGTTGACTGATTTCATGGTAACCGTATGGGCTATAACCTTTATTTATAAAAAATATATATAATATAAATGGAATGGATTATTGTTATATAAAGAAAGAAGAGCGATTTTTAAATAAAACTATTTTTTCATTTTTTTCCGTGGATTTGTTTTGATTTTTGGTTCCCGACGATTCGAATGCTTTACAGATATCATGGTCACGGGAGAGAATAAGGTTTTAGACGTCTCAAAGGTAAATATATAGTCGTTACAGACAGCACCTACCCACAAAATTACAAAATGATTTCAAAATTTTTTAAAATGGCACCAAAGTACCTTACAATTGTTAATTTTAATTTTACATATTTATTATAATTTTAATAAGCTTTATAATTGAATACAGGAATATTATTTAATTTTATCTGTTATTGTTATAAACATTACAATTTAATAAATAAACTTTATTCTCTCCCGTGACCATGATTGCTGTACAGGATTCGAAACATCAGGACCAAAAATCAAAATAAATTCGCAAAAAAATCCAAAAATGACAAATATTCGCGTAAATCTAAGAAAGTGTAATTAAAAGAGGAGCGACTTTAATTATAATTAAATTATTAATTACTAAATTAAATAAATCCATTATCATATCATCTGTGGTTAATCAAAATAAAGGTTTTAGCCCATGTGAGGGTCGGTACCGAAACATGGCGGGAAGATTCGACGTCATGGCGCCAAAACTCGATGCCACCGTGTTAAACTCCACTTGTTTTATTTTGTTGCCGTCCGGGTTTTGCATCAGGTAGTCCGATCTGAAGAGGCCAAGGCTGAGCGACTGGAATATTATTAATTTTGTCCAATTATTAGCCTTTTTTTAATTTGAGTAAAAAAGGTCGATGTACGGTTGGGCTTATTACCATAGCGTATGTCATACGTTAAATGTATTGTTAAATAAGTTTAATGTTGCTAAGTAATTATTGAAAAGACATAAAAATGCTAAATACTTTAGTTTAACATAAGATATACTAATGATACCTGATAAGAAGTGTTGAATATTTATATACATATATACTAGTGTATATAATAAGTATTCATCACTGCTTATACTATTATCTATGAAAAAGTTTGTATGTGTGTGTGTGTGTGTGTGTGTATGTTACTCAGTTGGACAGATTTGGATGAAAATAGTACACAGATAAAGTATGACTTGTAGGACATAGGCTACTTTTAGGCAAATAGGGATGTACCCTAGCAAAACGAGGATAAATCTCTGGTAAAACAACATACAGCCGAATTGAGAACCTCCTCCTTTTTGAAGTCGATTGAAAATATATATATGTATAAAGGATTCCAAACCAAACATTATTCTACAGAGATAATTTGTATATACAAACGAATGAAACCGTACTCCATCACCATATTTAAAATACCAAAAAACTACATTTCGACATAATTTCACAGATGCAATTTTAAATAATTGAAACTTTCTAAGTATATTACAAAATAGATTATTTCGTTAACAAAAAATGGGAGCAACGAGTATTTAGTTTATAAAATACGCTTTTTGTTACTTTCGTAACGGAATCGGAAGTACGAAATCCAATTGTATACAAAAACAACTGTCACTCAAGTCATAACACCCAACACTGTCATTGTAAAACAAATACATATGATCATTATCAACTGCACATGCTGTTTGTTTATAGCATAAAAAAAATATTAGGCGACGTAATATAATTTCAATGTACTATTACGTTTCAATGACTATGTTTAAAATGAGATTGCCACATTAAAAATTTATTTCCACTAACCACATAGACTTTGCAGGCTTGTGGCAGCCATATTTGCTGAAATTCTCTTTTGATTTAACATCAAACAATTTTTTTTATTTAAAAATAAAAATATATAAACTAATTACAATTCATTCTATGTTTAAAAAGCGATATCTTTACATTATGTTTGCATTATCTACTATCACAAATGGACTGCAAATACAACCTTGCGTACCTATAGATAATAAAAAAATAAAACTTAATTAAAACATTTTAAATAAAACGATCTTTTCGGAATATTTCGCGGATATATTTTGATTTTTGGTTTCCAACGTTTCGAATGCTTTACAGCAATCATGCTCACGGTAGAGACGAAGGTTTTAGACGTCTCAAAGTCGTTATATATGTATCGGGAACCAAAAATCAAAATAATTCCGCCAAATAATCGGAAAAGATAGTTTTAATTAAAATGTCAAATATTCAAGTAAATCTAAGAAATTTTAAATGTTCTCTAACGTGATAGTATTTAGAATCCATTTGTTTTTTTTTAATTACGGTTATTATTTAATTTGCAATTAATATACACAAAGTGAACAGTTAATCTTTGTATTCTACCTTTGTTCATGATCATTTCGTTCATAGGCAAAAAAAACACCTTCGAATGAAAAGCTCATATTACAGTATTAGATTTAATAACATTGCAAATAAATACTTTCTCACTCGTAAATGGCAGACCAGATTTTTAAAATTTTGACATATTTTTTCAATTTGATATACGAAAAACGCAATTAATTCAATATGCCAACCGGTAACCATCAAAATGACATTATAAAATCTGGCGTCCATTTTGAATTCAACGAGATAAGGACTACCTCTGTATTTCCCGCGACACAGGCCCAAGATGGCCGAACCCAGAAGCTATACTGTTGATTTCCACTTGCTTCCAAGAACAATATGGCGTGTGTTTGGCACATTGGTTCTCTGTGTGTGGACATCTCGACTCCAACATGATGTCAGACCTCAGCATGCCTAGTGATATCGGCTATGCCGACAGATTTATATCTAAACTTTACCCGTTTAATGACCATGAGGCCAGCGGCATAAAATATGGACGAAAAATTATTATCACCATACATTATATTAACATCCCATATCCGGAATCCGGAAATCCGTTCAATTTTTTTTTATTTATACAACTTGTATAAAGGCCGCCGTACATCTAATATTTTCTTATAAAATACTTAACATCTTCTTTGTAAAACTGTTGCCATGATAAATAATGTTGAAAAATTATTATTATTCTTAATTAAAGTTTTAAAGCTTAAAACAGTAACATAAAAAAAACTACAGACCAAACATATAACCTCTTTTTTCAAATCTATTTTGTCAGAGTATCCCGATGTATTTATCGCCTTGGGCGTAACGTCAAAAAACACCTAAAAATTATAATGATACTATGGTAATTTACCTGTACAATGCCTTCTTGCCTAACCTTGACCCATATGTCATAGAGGTTAGCAGTAAATTCGTCAACTTCGAGTGCGTTTTGTAGAGTATGTTCTAGGAATTCGTCATCATGTGCCACCTAAAATTAAATGCTCATAAGTACATTATTTTCATTTTATAACTGTTATTTTCATATAAGATGTAGGTATACATTTAAACGCCGTAGTAGTTATGCGCAAGCGATCCTTTTTTTTTTTATGTCGGGAAATGCATTTACGCATACCACCTGATCCCCCAGGTGGTGATGTGGGGCTCACCGGCTAGAAGAGCCGGTACTACCCACTAAAACCCGACATTCCCATCCCCTCCGCCATAATGGGACGCCGCAGGATCGTATGCGCATAACTACTACGGCGCCCCGGCGGCAGGTCTGCCAACGGCTGACCACCACACCGATGGGGCTACTCCACAGTCAACTCTGCTACACCAGAGAGGTACCCGGAGCAGCTCCATAAAACCGAACCTCCGCCCACCGAAGTGGGCCACCTCCAATCGGCTGCAGAGGACAGGGAGAGCGGCAACGAAACACCGACACTCCTCTTCCCCTGCAGCCCCACCGCGTCCGCCATCAAACGGTGGCGGCCCCGTCTAGGCCGCGGAAGGTAGGGAGAACGGCGCACCGAAATACCGGCACTCCTCTCCCGCCGCGGCCTACCCCTCCGCCGGATGCGGGCCTGCGACCACAGTCCCGCAACCGGCACCCATCATCCGGTAGTGGGACCAAGCGGTCCCACCACCGGTGGCCGCAACGTCTTCGGCTCGAGGCCTAGACGAGCGGCCCCATCCAAGCCATTTGGTCCGCGCCGGATTGCGCAAGCGATCCTGCGGCGTCCCATTAAGGCGGAGGGGAGGGGAATGTCGGGTTTTAGTGGGTAGTACCGGCTCTTCTAGCCGGTGAGCCCCACATCACCACCTGGGGATCACGTGGTATGCGTAAATGCATTTCCCGACATAAAAAAAAATAAAAAAAAAAGGTATACATATAATAAAATTATAACTAAGCCGAATCTGTACATTAGATATTTTTTGGAAAATCTTATTGAAATAAACATTATTATCGATACAGAGGCCGAATCTATAGTTTTTATAATTTTTGTCTGTCTGTTACCGCATCACAGAAAAACCACTGGAGGGATTTTGATGAAATTTGATATGGTGATAGCTGGCTATCCGGGTCAACATATAGGATACTTTTTACCGCGGGAAAATATCTCATTTCTGAGAAAAAATACAAAAACTACAATGTAAGAGTATACTAATATGTACCTGAAGCCTAAGAATTTGGTTTTTGGTCATCTGAACGCGGGCGAAGCCGCGGGAAATGAGTATACATATAATGGCTTTCCTTACTAGAGATAGTTTGACATATGCTCCATATAAATTATGTCAAATTATCATTAGTAACTTAGTAAAGAAAAACAGAGATAAACAAGTTATTTTAGATCTACAATCAATGTGGCTAATAGAAAACTATAAAATATAATAAAGGTATGACTTATTCATACCACGTGATTCGGACTTTTTATTATTATGTAGTTTTTTTTCTATTGCGGTTTATGCTACGCCGGTTGTCTCGAAATAGAAAGTGCAGCATTAAATTGCACAGTCCACTAGCTAAATAACATGTGTCTGCTGCAAAAAAACATATTAAAACAATATAAATATATTAATGATTAAATTTATTTAATACCTTGTGCATTAATTCATTTAAAACGGGTTGCAGCTCTACAGCCTTGTTAAATTCTGTTCTGGGAAAAGGCGACGGAAGAAGAACAAATGGTGCAATCTGAAATAATAATGTTAATATATAAAAAATAATGTTAATTGGCCGAGTGCGAGTTCACAAACGATATAGAGTTCCATGAATACATTAATGTATAGAATTATTTACGGCAGACATCTTTGATGGTCGTCATAAATTTGCAATTTTTAGTTCAGCCTGTACCACATTATTTTTAATAAGCGACTCTCCCTCGCTTCGCTTCGGGTTCGACCCTAGACAAAAACAAATCTATCCCACGGGAACCGTACATTTTCTAGGATAAAGTAACCTATTTGCTATTTGCCAGACCATAATCTATATCTGTGCTAAATTTGATCGAGATACGTTCGGCTGTTCTGGCATGCAAGAGTAACAAACACCATCCTCACAAACTTTCACATTTATAATCTTTACATATACTAATAAAATTCTAACTGAGCCGAATCTGTACATGAAATATTTTTTGGAGAATCTTATTGAAATAGACATTATTATCAATACAGAGGCCGAATCTAAAGTTTTTAGAATTTTTGTCTGTCTGTCTGTTACCGCATCACGAGGAAACCACTGGACAGATTTTGATGAAATTTGGAATGATTATAGCTGGTTATCCGAGTCAACATAGAGGACTTTTTACTGGGGGAAAATATCACATTTCTGTAAAAAAATAAAAAACTGCATTGTAAGAGTATACTAATATCTAAAACCTAAGAGTTTGGTTTTTGGGCATCTGAACGCGGGCGGAGCCACGGGCAATGCTAGTATAGTATAGATTTGAATTTAAGGTTTAGTTTTAGCTGATTACTTTGTCAATTTGAGGCTTAAGCGGAATAAAATTTGAGCAGATATTTGTGATTTTACATATTTCCTTTTTGGTTTTAAGTACAATTACATTACATTAAGTACAAGTACATTTGGTTATAAGTACAATAATCTAAAAAAACGGTCCATTTGTGTAAGTTTATTGTTGTACATATTTCATAACCTTAAGTGTTACTTTGTAAGTTTAAGCCAACTGCATAATAAAAGAAATGGTTAAGACTGCATTTTTGAAAGTCAATCATTCTTATTGTTAAATATTTAATTGTGTTGTTGTTCATACCCTTCCATGTACTTAACTTCGTCTCATGGTTAGTTCATTTGGGTCTTCAAATTCTAGATCATCCAAAGTACAGTGTAGTCCAGGAGTAAGGTAAGGGACTCATACTTGTGAGCGCGCGTAAAAAACAATTAAAAAACAGGTATAAACAATGAATCTTATCCAAATCTCAATTTGAAGATATTATTAACTATTGTATAAAGAAGAAAAAAAAAATTATATTTTTTTTTTGATTTTTCGAACCTTTAAAAATCATAGTTCCAAAAATATGAACTTTATCGTGAACAGTCATAGGACCTTTTTTATTTATATTTCAATAAAGAATATAAAAAAAAGTCTGGTTGGAAAATAACAATTCCTTACAAAACAATATGGCACAGGGTTGCCTCATGGCAATATGCATTTATATCATCAGTAGAGCAGTTTAAAGAGGATCACATAAAAAAATTGAGGTGGAATAGTTTTCAGTACTCATACGACGTTCCTCCTTTTTTTTCTTCTTCTTTTTTTTTTAACGTTGGGAAATGCATTTACGCACGACGTGTGGGACTCACCGGCGTAATACAGCCAGTACTACCCACTAAAACCCAACAAAACCTTCCCCCGTCTTAATGGGGCGTCGCAGGATCGCTTACGCATTCAACTACGACGCCCCGACGGCAGGTCTGCCAAAGCAGACCACCACAACCATGGGGTTGCTCCAAGTTCCACTCTGCTATCAGAGAAGTACCAGGAGCAACCCGCAAGGTACACCGCCCCCTCGAAGAGGGCCACCTCCCACCGCCCACCGAAGTGGGCAACCTCCCTGTGCGTTTTTTACCTTCGCGCCCGGTTGGATTGCCGGGCACTACTGAGCCCCCCCACCACGACAATGTGAACGCACGTTGGGGGGGGGATACGCCGTTCCTCCTGGACTAAGTACCAGATTGGGACATTTAAATGTATATCATTCTCATAAGCATATAATGAAGAAAATTAGTCTATCTGTTCCAAAAAGTACATTTGATTATACAGTAAGTGCAAAATTCAAATAATAATAACTATAAATTATTTTCTATTGTGTATTGTAGTTCTAAAAGATAAAAAATTAAAATATTGTATAAGGAAAGATAACAAGTTATCCTCATATACAAGTTATCAAGAGTAATATAGAAATTTTTCAATTTGTATTTTCAAAAATTGTATTCATTTAACACACAATAATTAAGATAATGATGATGATGTATTTTTATTTACTGCTTAATTAAAAAATCATTTTTCTAATTACTATAATATAGTAATTGTGACATTAAATGTCATCTATAAAGATACAAAAATTGAAGTGTCTGTTTGTAAAGTCAAAATAACAGCTTTTTACGAAATGCATATGGAAATATATATGTTACTTATAGAAAAACACAATTTAAATTTTTTTGTCTGTGTCTGTCTGTTTGTTCTGGCTAATCTCTGAAATGGCTGATCTGATTTTGATGGAATTTTCAATAGCAGATAGCCGATGTTATAAGGAGTAACATAGGCTACTTTACCTTCAGAAAAATAATGAGGGATCCAATCAAAAAAATTAAAACATACCTTGGGATGCACCCGAGCGAAGTGAGGGTAAGTTGCTAGTATTTACATAAATATTAAATTGTTTAGTAAAAATGAAATTTAAGATAGTAAAAAAATCTAAAGACCTCAAATCTGCAAAAACTCAAACTAAAGAATTATAATATAGAAGGAGCCCACCATAATAAATGTCAAAGTCAAAAACAGTAGCATGATTTGCTGTTTAGACTATGTTCAATTTTGCCATACAAATTATTTTTGATTATAGAAAATTTTATATTATTAATTAAGTTAATATAAATCATTTTTGGGACAAATGAAAAATGTAAATAGTAAAAATTCTTTTCTATTTTTTAAGCATTAGTATTATATTATATATATTCATATTCCCTAGAAGTATAGATAACAAGCTTAATTTTTTTTCTTTTTCTTCTATCTTTATTTATAAACATTTATATACCTATCACAGTAATGAGTATACTATTAATATTTGTATACTATTTTAAAACATTATTGTTTGGCATCAAGCCAATTTAGTTTTATTTTGCCAGTTTAGTTTTATGACACTCTGTCTACATTATTCCTTCAGAGTGCAAACATTATGTAAGATGATCCAATAATAAAAAAAAATGTAACTATTTGTTGCATAAAATTATAAAAATACTTTTTTTTGGTACTTCTTATTCAATTTACAACTGTCCAATAACATTATCAGATGTGATTTAAATAAAAATATAACTTTATATTTTAAAAAGTGTATGAGTTCATCTCAATATAATATTCAATTTTGTTGCATTTTGTCTTTTATTTATTATAAGTTGCTTACAATATCTTTTAACATAGAAACTATTTTATAAAAGAAATACCTATTTGTGTGTTGATAAATTATTCAGCTAATCAATATATTTTAAATAAAAAGATTATTTTGTGGTTTTATTTTGATTTTTGGGTACAGATGTTTCAAATGCTTTATAGCAAAAATATTTGCTTTAAAGTTTTCAAAATATCAGCAACCAAAAATTAAAATAAAACTAAAATATGTAAAAAAAAGTTTTTTAATATCAAGTATTGTTTAGGTACTTGAAAATACATGTTACAAAAAAAATCCAGAAGTAAAAAATATAGTTATTGTTTACTTCTGTATTTTTTTTACATATTTATACTAATATATATTATAATCCATATATACCTGTATCGCGTCTTTAGTGAAGTTTTTCTTATCTCTCATACCAACACCATGCATTAGTGCCCAATCCTTGGCCTTTTCAATCACAGTTACAAGAAATTTGTGTTCTAAAGGTAAAGGTATACAGGAGGCAAGTCTAGCTTGAGTCATTTTGTTTATATTTTTACAATGTTTATTCACTTCAAATTTTAGTAATCAATTTGTTTTGTTTGACACTACAAATTTTTAACTCTAAAAGACTAACAGCATGGAGTTTAGAAATAGAAAGTATTGAACTGGTTAATAATTAATATTGTTCTGTTCTGTGGTCTCAAACTTGAATGCAAAATATGTACATGAAGATTCGACAGCAACCTTCATGGAAATAAACTTAAATCTTAATCTTTTATCATAATGACATTGATATTTGATGTTAATGACATGTGACATTGGTTATTTACAATGCTGCCATGCTTAAAGCTCGAAAAAAAAAACAAAGTTTATTTATTCATCATGGACTTATTAAGTTTGTTTAATAAGTCCATGTTATTCATACGGCTGTTTTTATCATCTTTTACCAAATGTACTTTCTTAGAGTATACATTTATGCTATAGAGAGCGCGTATCGCTCATTGTCCATTATGCAAAACGTAAGCACTAAGCAGATATTCTATACACACCTATTGATACATACTTGTAGACGAAGCGGTTGAATAGTGATGCGCCTAGTAATACTTTTAGAATTTAATAAAAAAAGAAGTATATTACTATAAACTATTTAATATAACCATTTATTCACGCATATATAGACCATATTTTCTAAAATTACAGTATTTCAAATTAATATCTTTCATTTGTAAATCTATGTAGTTATTTAATAGTGTTGCTTAATATTTTGACTTTTTTAAATAATAGTGAACTAAATTGAAATTATATATTATTCTCTTTAGCTTTTCACGTTCCACAATTATAAAATAATTATACTACAGGACTTAAACGCAAATTACGGGAATTAAAGATGAATTCACGCGTTTAAATCCCGTAATTTAATTATTATATAATTATTATTCTTAATTAATTTTAACATTTTAAATCTTTTAAATTTTGCATAGAACAATAATGTGGCTTGAATAGTTCTTTTTTTATGTTTATAAATATAATAATGACAACACTAAATAAGATGACTAATTAATAGTTTTCTAAAAAAATTGTAATATTTATATTGATAACAGCTAAAATGAAATAAATAATATACCATGCAATTATAAAACTTATTAAAATTATAAAAATGTTTAAAAATAAGTAATATTGTAAGGTACTTTGGTGCCATTAAAATTTAAAGGTTTTATTTTTGACAAATACAAAGGATCTCAATTTATAATACTATGGTTATACAAAATATTCGAGTAGTACAACGTGGTACAACACTAGCTCTTAATGAGGGAAAGTAGGAAGCGGGCGGCGTGGAAGCACGTGTTGTGTTGACCCGCCAGCGCGCCTCCCGCAACACCCACTCACACCTGTGTAATTTTGTTAAAATCAGCGATTTCTGATTAAAATATTATTTACCGATGAAAAGAAATATCTTTGTTCGTTTTAGTTTGCTTTAGTGAATCATTTTTACAGCTTGGAACTGCACATTTCATCATTATTACACAAATTCAAATAAATACCGACGAGAGAAACAGTCAGCACGATTGACTTTTCGTGACTAATAGCGTCGCCCTTGCTATTTCCAGACTGTTCATACCCGTGCTTCCAGTTCATACTTGCTAGCGCGCGCTCTATAGCTTATGTATACTCCTAAGACTAAATTGCTACAGTGTTAGTTGCTATGTACAGTGTGCTTATTGTGTAAGGCAGTGGTAGCCTAGCAATAACGCGCTCGCTAGAGAAATTGAATGGAGTGGGTTCAAATCCCGGCTCTCGCGCCTCTGATATTTTCATGAGCAAATTATTTTCTACGTGAATTCCATTTGTCTTATGGTAAAGGAAAATATATCTGAGAGAACTTGTGAAGTTTTCGAAAGACATTTGAAGCCCGCCAACCAGCTCTTGGCTAGCGCGGTGGACTATGGCCTGATCCCCCTCGTTTTGAAGGGAGGCCTGCGCCCAGCTGTGAGATGTTAATAAAAATATTAATAAAAAAAACGTGTGTGTGAGTACTTATGTACGCATGTAAGAAGTTATACTTTTTTGGCGTAGCAGAATAAAAATTGCTAAAGATTAATTCATCCCATATGTCACAACGCTCTGTTTGTAAAATAAATGCAGCTAACTTCGTCATGTCGTTTTCAGCTAACTTCATCATGCCGCTTTTTGGCTGTGGGTGTGTGCGCGCATCGTAATAATTTTACTTTCATATTTTTTTCCAAACATGCCAAAAGAAGTATAACTTCAATAACTTTTTAAAAACAAGCTTTTATTCAAAAATTCTATTGTACTAAAACGAAAATAATAATTTTATTAAGGGTTATGCTGATAAATGTTACTTGTATTCAGCCCTTTTTTTTAACGTCCCACTGCTGGGCACGGGCCTCCCTTCAAACAAGGAGGATCAGGCCATAGTCCACCACGCTGGCCAAGTGTGGGTTGGCGGACTTCACATATCTTTCGAAAACTTGCTAAGTTCCCTCAGACATGCAAGTTTCCTCACGATGTTTTCCTTCACCGTAAGGCAAGTGGTAATCATTCTAGAAATCATTCGCACATGAAAATATCAGAGGCGAGACCCGGGATTTGAACCCGCATCACTCGGTTTCCCAAGCGAACGCGTTACCACTGGGCTAGCACTGCCTTGTTGTTTGAAATGTTACTTATATAGATATAATAAAATAGATCGATCGAAATTCTGCATACAACTATCTGCGTATGTAGGTACGATGTTATGATAATCAATAGCTGAAAAATAAAATGCATTTACGCATACCAGCTGTAGACAGACATACAGGTGGATAAGTGGGACTCAGCGGCCAGACTAGCCAGTACTACCCACTAAAACCCAACAGAAAATTTAGCTTCCAAGATTAGACCCAAACTTGTTAGTTACACGGCAAGTTAAATAAAAGTTTGTAATAAAAAGGGCACAATACATAATATGCTACAGCTAAAGTGATTAATTTAATTTAAAATAAATTTATTATTTATATAACATCTACCCGAAATTTAGACATTCTTTGAACGCTTAAATAAATTGTTTTACTTTTTAATATTTTAAATTTGTTGAAAAAAAAAATAAAAAATAAATAATGACATAATATATTATGTTTCTTTGTCAATGTTAATCATTTTTTTTTCTTTCTTGGCTTAAGAGTTGCGGTAAAGCAAGTGAGTTCTAGCAAGGGATAGGGAACAATCATTAGTAAAAACTTTTACTTGTCGTCCATGATTCGAATCATTAGTCTGTTTTTTAATCTCAGAGACAAAACTGACATTCCTTGGGCTGCCAGTTTTTTGCAATTCTTACATAGTGATGTGCCACTATCGAAAAATAACTTAAATTAAATCAACTATCGTCTTTTTATAATAAGTTGTCCTGAAATAATGTGTAAGTACTTATTTAAAACGTAATAATACCGGTATCGTAGGTACAACAGTGCACAAAAGAGCTGGCAGCATTATTTGTAAATTTGATATTTGCATGTGTCAATTTAATCTTTGATATTAAAACACAGACTATGCTAACTACTAATTTACACATTCGACTTGACTATTAGTATATACTAATGTTAATAATCGAATAATATTACTAATTAATAATTACTAACGGCATTCGAACTAAATTGGTCGCGACAGCGACTCAGTAGCCAGTTTGAGTTTGACTTTAAAATGAAATACGAATGAATGGATCATTTGTATTTTTAATGGATCATTTCACATTTGTACCGATATTCTTTAGGATTAGGTAATATTAATTGTCAAAATAGTTATTTTATCTGTGCAGGTAGCTTATATTAATTAACATAATATAGCTATAATATTAATTATTAACATAAAATAGCTATAATAAATTATAATTTGGTGCGCAATAATATAGTTCAATTGAAATTTGCAAAATTGCGTAGCTAACAACACTTTTTACAAATTTACAAGAGAAGCAATTTTTCCGATTTAAGGTATGGCTTTTTGAAGAGATTTATTATGATATATTGATTTCAAAAGCAGGTACGGTAAATACATGTGGATTTTACAAATTTACACTTATAATTAACGAAATCTTTAAGGTACACAGGAAAACCAAACCGAAACATCCATTGGTTATTTTTGCTAAATATAATTTCTACATAAAATCAAAATTTAATAAGTAAAAAGTATCCACGTACTTCGTAGCGTCCAACAATTTTTAATTCAGTTTTTTAGAAACTCCCACTATTAGAAATGACCTCAACACAGACGCACAGAAAGGATTTTTTGTATTTTTTAGGGTTATAGTAGTAAAGCGTGTATGTTCCAGTATTTTTAATGTATTTAAACAATTATAAGTATAGATTTACGAACACATAGAACCAAACAGAAATAGCCCCTTTTAAAGTTCATTGGGTAGATATTATTTATATAAGTTAGTGAAAATAAACTGTACTTTATGAGTCATATTGAGCTTTATTGAAATAAAACAAAAATAATGACATAAATTAGTAGAATATATTTTATTATTTGAAAAAAATAAGATTACATTTTAGAAATCACAACTCTAAGTAGGAATTGTATTTTTGTATCTTAATTTATGTAACATTTGGGCTACCATTAAATCATTTTTTTTACTAGTGTCTTTCTCATTCTGTCATCTTCATTTGGTCATTGAATTTTATACAAGTTGCACAAAGGTTGGTATGCGGAGTACCAAATGAAAGATTATATTTTGTATTGAATACATGCCTGAAATAAGACTTCTTCACTTTCAGGTGATCATCAACTTTCAAATTATATTCTTTGTGTAACTTATTTATTGATAATTCTCCCTGCCCATTTCCCAAATCACTTGGGGTCGGCGCAGTACACCTTCAGTGTACTGCTGATAGGATTTGGCGAAAGTTTTACGACCGGCCGCCTGCCTGACGTCAACCCTCCTTGGGAATGCTATTGTCTTTCTTTGTCTGAATGGTGTTAAATATTATGCACTTTCGATTTTGTTGTGTTTTAAAACATTTTTTATACTATTAATTCAATTATTAATGTTATTTTTGGATATATTTTAAAATAAATTTCGATTACACAATAAATTTTGTATTGACATTGTCAAAATTTTTCTTCTTATTTATTGATAATTCTGATGACAAATACAACCTTTTAGTGTTTCCTCTACAGTAATGTGGTTCTTGGCATGGTATCGTGTTGATAAAATTCATGACAGCTTCTCTTTCACCTCATATTTCATTGAAGTACGATCACCTCCTCTTTGTTCAGCTAATAGCTTTCCAGTTTTATAATATTCTTTCATTACAGATTGAACTCTGTACTTTGAGATTTGCAATACTAATACTTTCTTAGATTTACGCGAATGTTTGACATTATTAAATAAAACTATCTTTTCGAATTATTTCGCGGATTTATTTTGATTTTTGGTTCCCGACGTTTCGAATGCTTTACAGCATCCATGGTCACGGGAGAGACTGAGGTGTTACATGTCTTAAAGATATAGTTGTTACAGACAGCCTACCCACAATTAACAAAATGAAAATTGCACCAATTACATTACAATATTTTTAACTTTAAACATTTTTATAATTTTAATTATAATTGAATATGGAAAATTATTTATTTAATTTTTGCTATTATTTTTATAATTATTACAATTTTAAAAATATTAATTAGTAATCTATATTTAGTGTTGCCATTATTATATTTATAACCATAAATAAAAATATAAAAATATAGTATTAATTATTAAAGCCATATAATTGTTCTATGTGTAATTTAAAAAAGTTAAAATTAATTACGGATACAGTGATGTCAACTTAGCCCTTTTGGGGCTAGATCTAGCCCTTTTTTGGCTTATTCAGCCCTTAAAATGATGATTTAGCCCCTAGCCCTATTTCTAGCCCCGAAACCGTGTAAGAAAACTTTATTCTGGCACACAGTACAAATTTTTAAAAAATCATGCGATACAATGAGAAAGAAATTTAAACATAACAAAGCATTAAATAAACGCACTTAAGCTAATCAGGCAACACACAACGTCACGTCAAGTCAGACTACCTGTCTCTATTACTCTTACATAAACCGTAGAGACACTGATAGGTGGTAGTAAGCATGGAAATGATTGCTACTTTTAAATCATTATCATATGATAAAATTACGTATATTTTTCATGCTACTTTTCACAGGCAATGATTTTTTATTTCGACGGTCTGGTGTCACACTTTATATTATTTGCTATTAAAATGAAGTATTAGTAGGGGAGCCCAAGAGGGGATTTTCTGTAGTTACTCGAGCGCGGCAGATTAACATAAAAGAGGTTACCTTGCACTCTATTGAGTACTTTCACCATAATATAAGTCTTCTATATAAAGGGGCGCGTCTAGGGAAGCCGATTAAAATATTTAAAAAATGTTTTGATAAGGTAGAAATACTTGAAACCGTCAGATTAAGGTGTGGTAGGCTAGTCACATCCTGAAAAGTGTCTAATTCAATAACCTGCCGATTTGCACAAGCCGAAGAGGCAAAAATCGACTATAAAGTTTATGATGATTATGGTGATTTGTAGCAGTCACTGTGAATTTAAGTAGCAGGTGTGACGTATGATAACGCATTTCATGTGATTTTTCACTTGCTACTCGTGAAATGTTCCATGCCTAGGTGGTAGCACAGACCTAGTATGCGTTTCGCTCGCTTTTCGCTCGCTCACACAGACAGCTGAAGTGTGCGAGCGAAAGGTTTTAATCAGCATTCACTGCCACGAGTGAAAAAGAGATAGCGACACAAGGTGACAGTGTGCCGTTTTTCGCGGCTAAGAGGCCCGATCAGTTTTGTTAATATTAAGTAAACGATTATTAAAAAATTACTTATTTTATTTGATTTCAATAAAAAAAACGAACTTTTCCTATTTTAATTTTTTTGGCCCAGTCACGGAGCTTAGATAGAAGGAGAACCTCCAAATTGGCCAAATCTAGCCCCCATCTAGCCCTTTTTAGAACTCCATTTAGCCCCAAAACCTGACACCGTGTTGGCAACACTGTACGGATAATCATGGATGCTGTAAAGCATTCGAAACGTCGGGAACCAAAAATCAAAATAAATCCGCGAAATAATCCGAAAAGATAGTTTTATTTAATAATTTGCAATACTGTTAAAAAATATTGTTGACACACTTTCACCTTTTTCTTTAGCATTTTGCTGTAAATGTAAAGTTTTGTTTAAACATTTTTATCAGCATATTTTGATGTAGTAGGACGGCGACGCGATACCTTGCAAGGTGTGCAATGTTTTAAAATATACACATCCTGTTTTTGTTTGTCTCGGTCTGCATAAAAATTATCAAAAAATCGCTTCAAATCAGACATAGTGCCATACAGCCAAAACCTTTCTTGTGCCGACATAGCAACCTTTTTGGAAGAGACTTCGCAGAATACCTAAAACTATATGTCCGTAAAACAATCAACACGGATTTTAAATACACGAATCCTAGGTACTCGTTGCCTCGTAGAATGTTCTAATTCTTCCAATTGATGATCAATCAAGTCAAATAGATCCATTTTTATTAATAAATTTTAAAATAATCGTTTGTGTTTAATTGAGTATACACACAAAACGACAACGGACGTTTGGTGTGTTGTAGTTTTTGATTATTGTACATACCTTATATATTTTTTGTAATTAAGGTAGGCTCTGTGAATCGAATTTGATTGAAGGAATATGATGTAAATAAATACATAAATTTGAATTGAAGTCGATATTGTAGAATTTTATTTATATTTTGTAATTTATTACTTCTATTTATTATACATAACAACTTTAGAATGATATTTTTAATCTATCCAAATATATACAGAAACTTAACTTTAATCTTCAAAACTTATAAATCATTTCAACAATTATTAACTATATAACTTACATATTATGCATCTAACTATTTTTCAAAATCTTATCTCTAATACAATTAAACTTACTTACAGGCAAAGCTTTAGTGAGAAAATCAGCGAGTTGGCATGCACTTTCTACATATTTAATATTAACTATTTTCTTAGATACATTCTCTCTTATGAAGTTATACTTAATATCTATGTGTTTACTTCTTTTATGAAATACAGGATTTTTAATTAACTTGATTGCACTCTGATTATCTATATTTAAAGTGACAGAGTTTTGTGGCTCTCCAATATCATATAATAATTGTTTAAGCCATAATATTTCTTTTGTGGCCTCACTAGCAGCCATGTACTCGGACTCAGTTGTGGACAATGCCACAGTGTTCTGTTTATCTCCATCTTGCACGTTGTTTTTTACACCGGTAAGTATCTTGCTCTTTACTCAATTTTTTTATTGGATTTATTAATTATGACGAGCCTGGGCCCATAACCTATTGGATTATAACTGTATTTTAAGAGAATTGAGTAAGACTTCTTCTTTTCGCGTTCCAATCGCTCCAAAGTACCCATTCAAAGAACGAGTGGCTCTGATTCTAGCTGGGAGTACACGGAAGTTAGGCACTGGGTGTGCTTCATCCGATGTCTCAGCCATTAAAATATCTCCACAGCTACCTAAACATGGTATCTCTTCGTAGAGATTGTGAGTATTTGCGTCGATAACTCCAGAGTGATAACCTCCAAAACCTTGCTGTACTACACTGGGAAGCACGTGATCTGCAAGACTAACGGTTTTACCCGTTGCATCTTTGACCTCGCCAATTCCTTTCAGGAATAGATAAAGCGGTTGTGGAATGTTAAAATCATGAGATGCAATCGATTTGCAAAACTCTTGTTCTGTAAATGTCAAATTTGTGTTTCCATTTGGCCTTTATATCTAACAAACGTGCCCATAGAATTGCTGGGCTGTAATACATCAACATACTTTTGGTCATTTGTTTGTTTAGATTTTTGTCATCCCCTCCTAATGAGGAGTAGACTTCTTCTACAATGTCAGGCAGTCTTCCGAATGAAGGACTGATCTCCTGGTTTACATGTAGTTCTCGCACTGCGACGTCGATACCAAACACTGAATCGGCCCACATTGGGGTGTTCTTCGGTGGTGTTGGCGTTTTCGCTTTGTCTAGTGCTGTTGGAGGAGCTACATCTTTTGACGCAGGTTCAACCCTTTTTGGCTTACCTTCTACGGTTTTCTTTCCAACCTTAGTTGGATCAAACTTCTCAGGTTTGCCTCGATAACCTGGGGCTATCTTCTTGATCTCTTATTTTGTATAGATCTTCTTTTCATTTTGATCGTTGTTCATTTTTAGTTTAATCTTCGTTAGCGTTCGGCGTAATATAAAAATGGGTTTAGTTTAACATTATTAAAATAATAAATTTAATTAACAATAAAATACATTGAACTTTTAAAACACTTCCTAACCAACATCTGGCTATCTACTGTGGAATGATGAATTCTATAAGTGAGTGGATGAAGTGGCCATGGGCTCGCCAGTCTCTCCCGTCGTAGCCTACATCTTTATGGAGGACTTGGAGGAGACTGCTCTGAACACATCACCGGACAACTTGCTTCTACAAGCGGTACGTAGATGACACTTCCACAATATTATCATCTCATAAAATGACTGTATTCTTAGAGCATCTCAATTCAATAAATCGAATAACGTCAAAACAACAACAATATTTTAGCTTTCTTAGATGTCTTTGTTAAACGCAACTCAGATAACACCTTGAGTCATACTGTGTATAGAAAGAAGACCAATACTGATAGGTCCACACCATCATTCATAGTTAGCTACCATGGGAAAATCTTTGTGTCAGAGAGTGCGAGGGATCTTTGACGAGCAACACCTGGCTGGAGAACTGAATATGTCAAGCAAGTTCTACGAGACAACAAGCTGCAAGTACCGCACCTTCGTCACAGTGACCGAGTAAAACATAGTGTTACTTAATATTTTATCTTTAAATAATAACAATCTAAATTAATAACTTCTTTTAAATTATATAAAACAATAATATTGCTTAAATATATATTCAATATTTTTTAATTTTGATTTTTTTAAGGGTTTTACATATTATAATAATAGCAACATTAGATAATATTATTAAAAAAAATATTTATAATAATTAGAGCCAAAATTAGAAGAATTAGCATAGTCGGAAGCATGTGCGTAAATCTTTATTCTAATCTTCCAATATACTCGTACTACTTTTTTTATGATTGTAAAAGCTGAGAGTCTGGCGCATTCTTAAGTCTACTTAGGAACCATGGAGTCACCTGTTTAGATTTTTTTATTTAAAATTGAAAATTTAATTCATAATTGACCGAACGTAAATTTTTCACTTTCATTTTCATAATTTTCATCACAGTTACGAAGCTGATTATTTTATTCATAAAAGTACTACTTATTATATTATATGTTCAATTGCAAAAAAACAAATCTCGATAAAAAATTTTTAGAATTTTTGAAAGGTAGCCTGGTCGAAAATTCTCAAAAATTCTACTGTTTAAAAGGTCCATTACACTACACGGTATTCAGGGCCCGGTAGTTAGGGAGGGCGTGGCCCCTTGCAAGGGCGTCGATTATTACATTTGAAAATTATACAAATAAAAAATAATACTCGAAATCACTAGTCAATAGTTGCAGTTTTTAGCGATTGCTGTGCGGAAGGTCATCATAAAAAGAGTGACAACTAGATGGTAATTTAACACTTTTTAGGTCTTGCAAATCTTCATACTTCCGCTTTGTAATTGGTATTCTAGCTGCATTCAATTTTTGCAAGTGATTTATTTTTTTTAATGCTATTACGAGTAATTGACGTGGGACGATGTAATAACGGCTGAAGCTCGTCATGAAAACCAATTTAATACCAAATTGTTCTATTTAGTCTTTATTCTAGCATACGTACATCTGTGATGATTGGGTCGCCTGCTTTTTTACCCGGCCGTATAGATTTATAAATTAATTTTTCCGAAAAGTCGGCAAAAAAGGTATAGTCCAAATAACGAGCTTCGTAAGGCATAGGATCACTCCTAGCAAGCAGTTTTAGTTATAGCCATATATTGTTGTGGAAGGTAAATTTCTATCATAATATATAAAATCAATATCATGTGACCAATGGTTAGACGCGCAATGAGCAGCTCCATTTAAAGGCATTAAAATGTGGAAACCGCCAACTTTTGACTTGAGCGGTGTTGTAAGCTAAGGGACGATATGTGATATAGATAACGCGAGGAACAGAAGCTGCTCTTTGAGTCAGTTTGTAACAGGTCCATACTGTTACCTTAACATACTGTCATATTTAGCTGTTACGATAAATACGCCTCACTGTTACAATGAATTTACAGTTATTTGACCTGTAGCTGTAAGGTTGACGAACCAAGCATTATGTTGCTATATTTAGCTTCTATGACTCCCTGATACGAAATGTTAAATTTTACAATTATTGCTAATATTTATTGCTAATAATAAATACTTATATTATAATTTGTAAGATTTTATGTGTTTCGTTTGGCATTGGCAGCAGTGAGCCCATTTTATGATAAACTTGGCCTCTGATTTTGAATGTAGAATTGAATTGTTGACCATTTGCATTAGTATTTCGAACTATTTCTGTTGCTCCGAACGATGTCATTTGAAAGCATGAATTGAATCTTCGAATTGACTTCAGGAACACGTTAGAATATGGATCCGTGCCGATAAGTAAGCCGTTCAATGGTTCAGGTGGTGTTTCAATTTCAGGTAGTTGCACTTTTCCTGACGCGCAACACATCCCAGCTGGCTCATTTTTAAATTTCAGAGCATGACAATGCGGACATTCCTTGTCCATAGCACCAATTACCACTTTTGAATGAGCATAATATTCAATATCGGGCTCATACTGGAATGCTAGACGCAGGAATGAATCAGATATAAATGCTCGATGTACCTGTTGTCGTTGTTGGTCATTTGTTCTTCGTCTATTGACTGTGAAACGGCGTCATTGTCGTTGTTCTAATCTTCTGACTTCATTGCGTTCAGCTCGTGTATCTTCTGGCTCTTCTTGATGCAATTGCGCCATTCTGACACGTGCATCAGTATTTTTTTGCTGGATTTGTTCTTCTGTTCTTTCGGATCTGCTATTTCGCAAGTTTCGAGCTTTACTTGTACTGCGGCTCAAATCAGCCCCTTTGCGTTTTCTTGGCATTGCTCACTGTACAAAACATACATAAATAGAATTAATGAAATTATTTAATGATGAAAAATGTTAAAAGTATAATTAGGGCCAGGATTTTTGCCGCAGTTTTGAAATGATTTATAACAAAAATATAAGTTTTATGGAAATAAATTTCAAACAAAAGTAAAAAAATAAATTTTATGAAAACATTGTCTCTTATAATTTTTTCATACAACCAATATTTCCATTGACATTTCAAAATAAAGATTCATAATGATTGATTTTTTGGAAACTATGAAAATCTTAATTGTTCAATTACCTTTTTTTAATAAAATTAAATTAAAATTACATTTTTATAAGATCAACAACATTTTCGATATAAATAAAAAAAAAGTATACTTACAACACAAAATCCGTTGTTATTGGAAGCTCGTGTCACGTGTTGAGTACTTTTGAGGTTATAAAATCACTTGATTAACTAGTTGTGCAAAATACACTCAAAATTGATAATTTAATTATTATTGATAAAATAGGAATGATTAAAAGTTAATATGAGAGTTACACTGAGATAGCAAAATAATAATTGTCAACGTTACTACTACACTTGATGCATAAACAATAATGATGGCCGACAACTGTGTAGGGAGTGAGAAATAAAGGAGACCGGCTTCGTTCTCATCCCTACTCCGTGCTGTTTACTGGGTCAGAAGTGACACCTGTAGACATCTGGCGGGGATAACTAATTAAATGACGATTGATCAGTTTTCGACCGGAGAGGGAAAATGATTAAATTACTAAAATGGCTATTAAAAAATAAGGGTTGATCGTAGAAGGGTGAAAATTGAGGATTGTATGTATTTTTGTATGTTGTATCATAAAAAAATAGAAATTAAAAATTTTGTCTAAAAAATAAAAAATAAAATTTAGGGGTGGACTACCCCTAACTTTAGGGGGATGAAAAATAGATGTTGGCCGATTCTCATGGATACCGGATAAGCACAAAAAATTTCATCAAAATCGGTCAAGCGTTTCGGAGGAGTATGGCAACGAAAACTGTGACACGAGAATTTTATATATTTGTTACCATGCAAATCCAGAATGTTATTTTTTTTAAACTTACATTATATCGAGGGTTTACTGCGAAAATCAGCTTAGTGCAGTCAAGTTAGTTATTGCGTTTTAAAAGTTTATACCTAATAAAAATGCTATAATTTTAGTAGGCCTTAAATACTTAAGGGATCCGCCGCCTTGAGGGAAGCCAGTTGCCAAGCTGGTCTAAGTTGCGCACCCGTTCAGATGAAACTTAAGATGCAAATCATTAGGTTTAAAACCAACATATGAATGTTGAAAATAATACTGTAGTAGTCACAAGTTAGGAATTATAATAAAGATTTCATTTTTGTGTAGTCTAAGTAAATATGTGTGATAGAAGTGTATGAAATAGAGAAACTCATGACTGAGGTAGAACAGTTAGTCGGTTTTACATGTACATTGCTAAAAGGCGCTTAATGCGAGAATATTAATATTTTATACGATTTATGTTGAAAATAAGGTAGCTTCGATATTATACTGCATTTTACACAGGGCCGTGCCTGGGTATATGGCCGCCTGCGTGCCAGTCTGTATGGCCGCCCCCAGGATAACATTAAAAAAAACTACTTTAATTTTTAATGTTTATTATTATACACAGGGCATTAAACCGGGAAAAAAATCAGTTTTTGGTTAACCGAAATCGAGAACGAAAAAAAATATTGGTTTTGTTCCCAAAACCAAAAATTTTGTGATAAATAACAATAAATGTAATAAAATAATGTATTTACAAGTAAAAAGAAATAGTGCTGCTTCCGCCGTTATAGTTTTTACACCATTTAACAGAACATTTAGTCATTTTTGGGAGATGTTTTGTTGACAAGTAAGTGCTTGAGACTGACACAAAAAACAAACGACCTAGGCTAAAATTCCCTGGTTACAGACATGACCGTTAAAGGTACGTCCGCTTATATGTCTGGTCCAGTGGTTAATTCGTTCATGGACTAGGTATATAAATACTACAACGACCTAATCAGTTTTTATACATTTCTTATTTCTGAGAAACTCTTTTTAGATAGATTAGATTAGAGAAACTGTTTTTACTTCGTATCTTAATGAAAACAAACCGATTGTATTTTTGCCCAGTAAACAACTTGTAACGATTTGGCCGCCTCTTAATTTCGGCCGCCTGCGTGCGGTGCACGCAATGAACGCCCGTCAGGCACGGCCCTGATTTTACATGAAATAAACAATGCTAAACAAGGGAACTTATGGTTTAGTCTGACAAAGAAAATAGTTAGCTGGTTTTACCTGTAAATATTTATTGACTTCCAAGAAATTTTAATAAAGAGTAGAAAGAATAAATGCACAGTCATGTATGCTAATGATTTATTTTTATCACATTATAATCAGTTTTGATAATAATTAACTTTACTATTCATCTTCACCACTTTCAACTTCATCAACTGCTGGTTCAGGTAATTTGTCAACAATCTGTTTGCTTGTTTTTAAGCTTATAAACCAACCGTGAAGCTCCTCAGGTATGATTAGTTTGTTACAAAGAGTAATTAGATCTTTCTTTTTGGCTTCGCTTATTTCCAGCTGTTCTTGATAAAAGGCGATTTAATTGGTCTGATAATTGAAGATTAACAGCTGCTAAATAATTTTCAGTAGGCCGCTTCTTGTTTCGCGTAGAATGCGCGTGATTAAGTCCACTTTGGAATGTGGAAGACGATGATTTTTCTTGAATCTCTATAAAATTAAAATTGTCGCTCATGTCATAGTTGAAAAAAAAAAATCTGTCTTCTCCTTTTACGTATCTTATACGCTTTATCTTCAGCCACTGAACCTGTTTTCCTTTATCATCTTTCGTTCTATTTTTCATAAGAGTATTTGCAAGGTGCTTTAGGTCGAAGAACTCGTCAAATTTTTCGCAAAAAGTACTTGAAAATAGGGTGGAATAAATATGTGAAAAAAGCATATAGACAGGCTCGACTTGATTTTCAAAACTGGGTTCACACTGGTAGGTCTAGAACTGGAACCTTGTATGATAAAATGGTGGCTAGTAGAAAATTATTCAAAAATAAGTTGAAATGGTGTCAGAACAACAAAGACCAAATAAAAATGAACATAATTGCAAGTCACCACCAGGCTAAAAATTTTAGTGCGTTTTGGAAATCTACTAACAGTTTGAATCCCAGGTCAAGTCTGCCTGTAAGTGTTAATGGTGTCAGTGATCCTAAGGAAATTGCCGATTTATTTAAAACACATTTTAGAGTCGTCTCTCCGTTGGGTCCGTCGACCCATGGATCGGAGGATTTGGTGTGGTCTGGAGGCGCAGTGATTTCATTCACAACCAAGGAAATAGAGTCTGTGATAAAAGGTATAAAAAAGGGAAAATCGCCTGGGCATGATGGTTTGAGTATAGAACACCTTAGATACGCTGGTAAGCATATAACGCGAGTTTTGGCTATGTTGTTTAACCTATGTATGAGTCACTCGTATCTACCAGACGAATTAATTAAAACTATTGTAATACCTATTGTTAAGAACAAGACTGGAGATATGAGTGATAAGAATAATTACAGACCTATTTCCTTGGCGACCATTATTGCAAAGGCATTGGATAGCCTGATTGATAAACAGTTGGAAAAACATATAAATTTACACGATGCTCAATTTGGGTTTAGGCAACATTTATCAACAGAATCAGCGATCCTCTGTCTCAAGCATACTGTCCAATATTATGCGAAAAGAAAAACTCCAGTGTATGCGTGTTTTCTGGACCTCTCCAAGGCCTTTGATCTAGTCTCATATGATTGTCTTTGGAAGAAAATCACTGACAGTACTGATCTCCCAGTTGAATTTTTAAATATATTGAAATATTGGTATAGCAACCAGTGTAATTATGTAAGATGGGCGGGTATGACGTCAGATGCATACAGGATGGAGTGCGGGGTAAGACAGGGGGGACTCAGCTCACCCAAGCTCTTTAACATATATATAAACCAGCTGATATGAGAACTGAGCAATACCAAAATTGGATGTTCTATTGACGGTCAATGCTTTAATAACATCAGTTACGCGGATGACATGGTGTTGCTGAGTCCTTCTATCAGTGCTTTGAGAAGGCTACTCAGTATCTGTGAGAACTATGCGGTGGCCTATGGTCTCAGGTATAACTCAACCAAAAGCGAACTCCTAGTTTTCAAAGCAGAAAATAAGACTTATGACACTGTTCCACCTGTCTTCTTAGGAGGATTGCCGCTCACTAGAGTTACACGGTTTAAGTATCTCGGACACTGGGTAACCGATGGGCTCACTGATGATGAAGATATGGAGAGGGAACGCAGAGCGCTAGCAGTTAGGTGTAACATGCTGGCCCGCAGGTTCGCACGATGTACAAGAGAAGTTAAAGTTACATTGTTTAGAGCCTATTGCCAATCCATGTACACGTGCGCCCTATGGGTCAGTTATACGCAGAGGTCGTACAGCGCTCTGCATATCCAATATAATAACGCCTTCCGGGTAATGCTGGGGCTACCGCGTTTTTGCAGTGCTTCGGGAATGTTTGCGAGTGCTGGTGTGCCGGACTTTTACGCGTTAGTAAGATCACGAATAGCGTCCCTGATGCGGCGAGTGCGCGATAGCCCCAATAGACTTGTAGCCACTGTGGCTAAAAGATTTGACAATAGCATAATGTGGCATTGGATGACGACACATAGATCGTCATTTAAATACATTAAATAAAGGTTCCTATTAGTATTAAGTTCAAAGTTATTGTTAAATATTAAATTTTAAATGTTGTTAGGTAATACATATTAAACTATGGACCTGTGTCTGAATGGAAATTAAAATAAAAAAAAAAAAATAAAATTTAATTCTTTTACTCGGTATGGTTCTCTTGTAATTTTTTTTCCCATCAACTGTTATGGTTTGCCTACGTGTAGCACGCTTGAAAATAGAAATCCAATCCATCATAGAAAAAACAGAGTTATTTTTCTTAGCAGATTCTATGCTACTATGCATAAAATCTGCTTCCATTTATGTATGCCCCGATTCCAGAAACTTTTGCTCTATAACTCTAAGATTGTTAATTTTTTGCACTGCCCAAAGAAGTAAAGCAGATACATATTGATTACGGTTTTGCCCGCCACAAGTGTCTGAAAATAAGCTTATTTCTTTGATATTTTCAGGGACACAGTTTGAGAGGTAGTGTAACAGTATACTACCAATTTCAGAGCTACCCTTCCATCCGTTTACTTCTGACCATGAAAAACAATAAGCGTTATTGGGTAAAGCAGCCTCGTAGATCGTGAGGTTGTATACGCACAACTTTCTAGAGTAATAGAGCAGTCCTACATCGCAGGAGGGTATTTGGAGTACTGATTGCAAGTCAAATGTTACAGAACTAAAATGTTCATCAGTGTTTGATCTGACTTTACCCTTCTCTTTTTCTCTATTGCAAATTTTCTTCCTTTCTTGGTGAGCATTACACGGGTCAACATGAAATTTGACTTTGATTGCAAAGCATTAAATTTCGGTAGTTTAGGTCGTAATAAGACGGAAAAAAAATATATGGCATGAAAAACTTTGCTTTTGTGCTTAGAAGACTGATTGAACGAAATTTTTAAAAATCTCGGATTTTAATTTTTGATTGAAAATAAAACTATTGAAATAAAAATGTTTATTATTTTTATTAAGTTTTACTATCAAATTAGCTTACAGAAAAGTGGAAAATAACTTAAAAGTGCACACTTTTACTTTTTCTTTTATGTTCATAGCTAATTTCTCTCAATAAACCCCAAATATAGTCGCCCATCATGTTTTCATTGTATTGGCCTTGATAGCGTTGTTCAAAATTCATGATGTCCTGATGGAAACGTTCTCCTTGCTCTTCGGAATAGGCTCCCATATTGTTTTTAAATTTATCCAAATGAGCATGCAGCATATGTACTTTTAATGACATCCTGCAGCCCATGGCCTTAAAATTTGTAAGCATATCCTCAACCAACTTTTCGTAGTTTTCAGCTTTATTATTTCCTAAAAATCCAGAAACTACTGCTTTAAAACTGTTCCAACTTGCTTTTTGAGTACGATTCAGCAACGTTGGAAATTTTTCATCGGCGAAAATCTGTCTTATTTGCGGACCAACAAAAACCCCAGCTTTAACCTTTGCTTCCGATAACTTCGGAAAAAATTTTTTTAAGTATCCAAAAGCTTCTGAAGTTTCATTCAGTTTTTTAACAAATTGTTTCATCAACCCTAACTTAATGTGCAAAGGCGGCATTAACACTTTTTCCGCTTCAACAATCGGCTCAAATTTGACGTTCTGTTTTCCGACACACAATTCTGTTCTTACAGGCCATGACCGTTGAATATAGTGTTTAGAATCCGCTCTGCTATCCCACAAGCACAAATAACACGGATACTTTGTATATCCACCCTGTAGCCCCATTAAAAATCCCACCATTTCAAAATCTCCAATCAGCTCCCAGTTATACTCACGATACTTTACAGATTCAAGCAAGATTTTGACACTTTCATAATTTTCTTTAAGATGTACTGAGTGAGCAATTGGAAGAGACGGAAATTTATTTCCGTTGTGCAATAGAACTGCTTTTAAACTTTTTGTAGAGCTGTCAATGAATAAACGCCATTCGCTAGGGACACAGGGTATGCCAATTGCTTCAAACATACCTTTAATGTCATTACAAAAACAAAGTCCATCTTCCTTCGTGAAAAACGTTGCAAACATTTCATGCCTAGTCCGCTGATCCGTGATCTTAACATCATCAAGCAAATTCCACTGTTTTAACCGAGAGCCTAGAAGCTCTGCTTTATTTTTTGGCAAATTTAAATCTCTAATTAGATCGTTAAAATCTTCTGAAGTAATGAGATAGTGTTTTGGTTGTTCAGGTGTAGGCAAAAACTCCTTATCGGAATTACTTTTATAAGAACTAAAAGATGAGCTACTTTTCTGCGATAATTTTTTTGGTGGCTCAGGTACTGGTCGTGTCAGGTCGTGAGCAATTGGAGCAGAAGAAGATTCGAGGTCTGGATATTCAATAGGTTTTGCATTTTTACCTCTACGTCTTTTACTCGGATTCACCATACAAAAGTAGCAGTCAGTAATATGGTCTTTTGGTTCTCGCCAAATCCTTGGTATTGCAAATTTCATAGACCTTTTCTCACCTCGATACCAACCTAAAAATATAAAAATAAAAATTAATATGTCTATTATTTTGGATTCATCGCTTAATTAAATAAAAATTGCTTACCTTCCAAACACCTTTTACAATAACTACAAGCAACATGTGGAGCCCATGGCTTATCTTGATTCCGTACAGGACAGTCAAAATATGCTTCATAGGCTTCACAGAGAACGTGAGATGTCGTTAGTTCATATTTCACGTCTCGAACTTTAATAAATTGACCACATATAAAACAATATGCATCAGCATCGTATTTGCACTTTCGTGACGACATTTTAAGTTATTCTGGGCTTGTAAATAACACCTGATGGTTGTTTATCACTCGGGTGCCATCTAGCGGCACAGTGTAAACGTTAATACCCCACTCTCACCGCGCGGTCTTTTTAAAAATATTAGAATCAATTAAAATTTATGAAAAAATTGAAAAATGAGTATTATTATTATAACTATCACAAAAGCAAACTTTATACCGAAAAAAGGTATTTTCTTTTCGTTTTTATGCATAACTAACTGGAAAATAATAGTATAAACTTTAGGACAAAGAACGAAAATTTTTTTGTAGAGTCGTGTTATGAGCATCTTCAAGTTCTCTTTTCTTCTCTGTTTCAGCTTGAGCATAATTAGTGCAAACTAAGAATTGGTCTTTCCTGGGTACAAAAAAACTAAGATTATATTCCTTTGAGAAGATTCTGCGATAGGTTATTTCTGATGCTGGCTCAGAACCATTTTTTAAACATTCATCTCTGTATAATAAATGCATCTTTCGAATATTAAGATTTTTACCTAAATATCTGCGTTGAGTATCTTTTCTACTGTAATGGGCAGCCATACATGGAAATGACTCAATATGTTTTCTTATCCCTTGAATAATGTCAGGTTTCGTTTTATTGACCGGCTCGTGTGCTCCTCTACGATCTTTCGCATCAAAACAGTTTAGATCGTTTCGTTTCTGTATTGTATCAGTTATTACTGCAGGGGAGATACTCAAAGTACGACAAAAAAACTTCTGATATACTTGAATTTTATCACTTTGTTTAGTAAAAAAACAATTTTTTGTATATTTCTTTTCTGGTCGTTGTCGATTGCGTACAGAGAGAATTCGTTTTGGTTGTTGAATGGTAACGTTAGATAAATTAAAATTCTTTCTGCCCTGAAAGTCTAAATTGCAAAAATATCTGCAAATACTATCTCTAGTCGTCATATCGAAAGCATCACGGCACTTATATTGACATGAAGAACAATCAATGTTTTTAGGCACCTTAGCAGGCCTGGATTTCGCTTTGATTTGGTAAGGCAGACCATCTGCTCGTCTCTTTTTAGCCACATTACGAGCCCAGTTGTTTGGATTCGATTTTCGCCACCTCTTTGACGGTTCAATAAGTAACCAAGATTTTTTGAACAGCTCAGTCAAAATCTCTTCAACTACGACCATTGATTCGTGATATTGGACTTTATTTTGCTCAATAATTTCAATATTGTTCTGTATTTCTTGAATATCAAAATACTGAACACTTTCATTTTCTTTATTTCCAAGTAAATCTTGTAATGTAACAAGTCCATTAGAATCTTCGTTTTCAAGCTGATGGGAGTATTCCGGCAAGCGGTAAGTTGGATCGTCAGTATTCGAAACGTCGCCAAATAAACTCTCTAATTCCTTTTCAACATCGTCATCCATATATTTTTCTAAAACATAAATTTTTAGATTTAGAATTACTTACTATAGCATCTTATTAATACTTTATTTAGGACTAGCTCTTGCGCTGACGAACTCGCATGTTAAGTTATTAAAATATAACTCAAAGTACTTTTTTATTATTTTTTAGATTATGTAACATAGCTAATAGGATAATGTATTTTAAATAAAACTATCTTTTCCGAATATTTCGCGGATTTATTTCGATGTTTGGTTCCGGAAAAAAAAAATAGTTTTATTTAAAGTGTTGAATATTCGCGTAAATCTAAGAAAGTATTATTAGGATGTATGTTTATTAGTGAAATAATTTTTAAGATTGAGAGAGTAGTTAGAAATTACTCCTAACATATAAAATAATGAAGTTTTACTTCTTTTTAAAATTAGTATTACGAAAACTTTATTAGCATCGTAACTTTACTTACCTTCTCGATAATTAGAACAGGATGGCAAGGATAGATGGCAGATAGAAAAGTATTGGCATGATCAGGACTATGGTGCAACACTATGGTGCTTGAAATATCTGAAAATTTAACAAAAGGTTTTAATTTGTTTGACTTCTATATTATAAAGAAAAATATGACAAAGTGAACACTTTATTTCGACAGCTTGAGTAACTCTCGAGTAAAACTAATAAAAATATTATTAGGTAGATTTTAAAAATTACTGCTAGTTATGTTTACACCAAATACACCCTAACCATTTTCAAAACTCTTCTATACACTTACAGTTGTAGATAATAAAGTATAAAGATAATTTACCCGCAATAATTGAACGACGATACTCATTTATTGTGACTAGCCTATCACACCTTAATCTGACGGTTTCAAGTATTTCTACCTTATCAAAACATTTTTTAAATATTTGAATCGGCTTCCCTAGACGCGCCCCTTTATATAGAAGACTTATATTATGGTGAAAGTACTCAATAGAGTGCAAGGTAACCTCTTTTATGTTAATCTGCCGCGCTCGAGTAACTACAGAAAATCCCCTCTGGGGCTCCCCTACTACAAGTTCAATATCGCTGCTAGCAGCCCCGGCCGAGCTCCATACAAGCGCATATTCATAAAACCGAAGGCGAATAAGACGAAGCGGGGGCCGGGGGGGTCAAGATAGTCAAAGAAAGATTTTTCCCGATTTAACCATTATAAATTAAAAATAGCTACATGGGATATGTTAATTAATATCTTATTATATTATAAAATATACTTAAGTTAAATATGCTTAAAATGATTTTTTTTATAAATCATATTTGCTATATATTGATTTATATAATTATATTCTAAATGATTTTAACTATTATTGAATATCTTATATTTTAATTATATTTCATATCAAACATAAAATGTCTATTAACATAGGGTTTTATGTTATAAAAATTGATTTATATTTTAGAGCTGTGTCATGATATTTGCCTTAATATGGGGACAGTTATGGCATAAATGGCAAGTCAAAATATGCTGTCACTTTCACGGCTATTGTATTTCTTTTGAGTCGCCACGCATCTCTTTCTAAGGGTATGACGTCATATGCGAATCTGGGAGAATTTAGTTCGTAGTGATGTAAAAATCGGTATTCATTACGATTACGATTAAGTAGGGATGTATTTTATCGTAATGTTATCGGTATTCAACAACCGTTATCGGTTTTATAGTAAGGTTTTCATTTTTATGATATTAATTATAATTAGAAATAAAATACAAAGATAGGTTTCTCGTTTTTTTATTTTACTATTTTAATGCTACCACTAGTTCGGAAAAATGCCTCAGACCTGAGAAGAATTAGCAAGGACTGAGGTCCTTGACGGGATAACCTTTTTTTCTTAACATTTCTAATACATTGTTATTACAATAAAAGGACATTTTTAAAGAATTTTATCAATTGAATACAAAATACAAAAAACATAAATTAGTACAACGATTTGGTATAAAATATTACAATGCAATAAAATTAGAAATAACATAGAACAATCGTTTTTGTTAATAACATTATCATATTGAGCGAGTAGTAGGTTTAATTGTAGGTATAAATTAAAATCTAGCTTTTGTTTGAAGTTTTAGCTCTAGAACCACCTTCATCTTCAGTTTATAAAATGCAAAGATTCGAGGTTAGCGCATTTGAAAAAACAAACATTTTAATCTTATATAAATAAAAAAAAATGCAAATTTCAGTAAAAAATGAATAATAAAATTAATTTTCTTAAAAGCTTAAGAAATTTAAAATCAATATGTACATAGTAATAGTAAAAATTTGGTGTAAAAAGAAATAACAGCTAAACATACTCTAAAATAAAATTTCTAAATACATAGTTCTATCAAATGTAACAATTATAATTAATATATTAAAATTATATACTGCTATAGTAGTATATTTTAAGAAATTATAATATTATTTCACAGAAATCAAATGAAATATTCATACATTATTTTTATACTTAATAGAAACAATGAAAATGGAAAATTCTAAGTGATTATCTTTTAAATAACCAAGAAATGAAACAAACAAGAGTAATAAATATTAAAAGTTAATTAATGAACTAAATAATGAAAAAATATTAGAAAATCATTCACTACTCTGAAGACTAAATGAGTTCAGGCTAGGCCCTTCTGAAACTTTCATATTATGCAAATTTTCTATTTCCAGACCCTTTTTTCTCGAATCCACTTTATGCATTCTTCAATTAAAATTTATACACCTTTGTCTAACTTTTATACTTATCATAAATAATGAGTATGCTCTTAAAAATATTTCTCTATGATCTACACAAGTGTACCAAGAGGTATCAAGATTTTCAAATGCTTTTATTAAATCGGGAAATATGTAAACTTTACAAATCTTTGGTAATTGTCTTTCAATTATGTAAATTGCATACCATACTAGAGATGACAGATTCTTAGAAGGATCATGTATTTTATTATTAATGAATAAAATAATCTCAGCTGTGAATAAGCCATTCTCAATATTTACATTTAATGTATTACAATAATTGTGTTCTTCCTGGAAACTAAAACCTTTATCACGAGACTTATAGATGTTGAAACACTTCAACTGCTGAAACACCTGCGCAGCATATAGTTCACCTGTAAATATATTATTATAATAAATTAATGTAATACAACAAATAGTCACCATAACTATAGTATATCTACTAGTAACTACTATAGATGAATAGTAGCTTATTTAAATATAGTAATAGTTTATTATTATTAGGGTCTAGGTAGATAAGCCAATTAGGCCCTTAAATAGCTTTTAACATTATACAATAGATAGGCTATAGAGTTGATAAATTGTTTTTAATGGACTGAGCATTACATGGATAAGTGCATTCAAACAATAAACAAACTATTCAATTTTACATATTAGAATAGAATAGTATAATAATAAATAGTATATTAATATCAATAGCTTCAAGAAGTTTCCTTCTTAAAAACAATTTCATATTAAAGATAAGATAATATCCAAGATCTAAAGTAATATAATAATATCTTAATTTACTAAACTTAACAATATAGTTACCTTCATCTTAACAAAAGAGTTTGGATAAATATGCCTGTCAGTAAGTTTGTTAGCCTTGCAGCACCTTTATGGTCATCTACTTTATACAACATATGAACATAATCCCATTGAGCACGCTGACTGCCAAGGAGCAAATTCTTTTTCTGAAAATTATTACTGAAACATTTCAGTAAATGAGGTACATCATACTTATGATAGGTTTTGTTCCCATTAACTTCATAATGGATAGCACTTGATGCATCATTGGCACTACAAAGTATATTTACCTTAGTATCAGAAATTAATGAATTTATTGCAGCTACATTGGCAGAAACCTGGTCAGATAGAGTTACTCTAGAAATAAACCCTGTTTATAAGAATTTCTATAAGTATACGTTATAAAATTGAAGTGCATCTTTATAAGGCATTCTATGGCATGAAAAACCTTCTGTTCCTTCCTGACAATTCGGAATTACAATGCTTTCCCATGATTACACAACATTAATAAAAAACCAAAAAAAGGAAGAGAAACACTAATGAAGAAATCACAAATTTTGTAGCCAAGCACAAATGTTAACTATATCACTGATCTACATTAATCAGCACTTATCCACATTAATCAATACTAATCTACAAATTGATAAAATGTAAATTTAAAGTGTAAAATAATATAAAAAACGGCAAGCCCTCACACCCTAGTCCCCAGGGGCGAGTAATAACAACGGTTAAAACTTGAAAATTTCAAAAATGACAAAATATTGCAGTGACGTCACAGTAGTGACGTATGTAACTGCGACAGAAATAAGTTGTTGTCCCACTCGTTGTCGCCAAATGTAGAGATAGCATGCTAGTTACCAAGCAAATGAAAGGGATAGATAGATCCACCAAGAGCTCGTATGGAACTAATTCATCTATTTTATTTGTCATCCATGGCTGCTAGTAATAAAAAAATGCAATTTTAGAAATTTTAGAAATTAAAATGTTTAAATATTTATTTAATCTTTTACTTTTTTGTAGGAATAATTCCCTGCCACCTATAAATCAGTTACTATTGACTTTACGGTACTATGCAACTGGATGTCATCAACTGACCATGGGTGATTTTTCTGGAGTCAGTCGACCAACAGCTAATCGTGTCATCCACCGAGTAACTGCAGCAATAGCCTCCCTGAGTCGTGATTACATCAAGTTTCCGCAGACTGACGCAGATATTAGAAAAACGCAACTAGACTTTTACAATATAGCCAGATTTCCAAAAGTTATAGGTGCATTGGATTGCACTCATATAAAGATAATATCACCAGGAGGAAGCCATGCAGAAACCTTCAGGAATAGAAAAGGCTATATGTCAATTAATGTGCAAGCTATTTGTAATGCCCAATTGTTATTGACAGACCTAGTTGTTAGGTGGCCAGGAAGTACTCATGATGAACGGATATTCAGTGCATCTAGAAGACATGCCATGTTTGAATTGGGAATGCATGGTGATTCAGTACTTGTTGCAGACAGTGGGTACATGAATAGAAATTATTTGATGATGCCATTAGATAGAGTTTCTACAATCAGCAGAATCTTTATATAATGAATCCCAAATTAGGACACGCAACCCAGTTGAGAGGTTATTTGGGGTTTGGAAAAGGCGCTTCCCAGTGTTAGCCCTAGGAATTAGGGTAAACTTGAAAAATGCCCCACCTATTATAGTAGCTACTGGTGTATTACACAACATTCTACAAATGAGAGGAGATCAAATGCCTTTAGACGACCTGAGTCTAGACTTGCCAGCACCATGGGAAGAAATATTACATCAGGGAAGAATACAGCGTTCTGTAGATAATAATGTTAGAGATTTAAATCCCAACAGGAGATCATTAATAACAAATTATTACCAAAGTCTTGTTTAAAAAGTATGTAATGTATGTAACAATTAATAAAATATAATACCAACAAATAAAACAATTTTATCCTTATCCCTGAACGTTTTTATTACCAATACAATATACATGTAGGTATAACACCTAAAAAAATAACTAACTATCCATAAGTTTTTGGGTCTTTATTTCTTCTTGCTTTAACTGTTGTTTCAAAATGTCTAATCTAATTTTGGATTCCTTCTCAGCATTTTCTTGTAACATTTTTACTAATTTAATCTTTTCGTTTACCAATTCATCACTCAAGCAATCAATTTTAGGTCTTCTTCTTTTTAAGTAGTCTTCTTCATTTCTGGTTACTTTTAGATTACTTGATACTGGTGTTTTTAGATTTTTTGGAGTCCATGACTTCCAGGTATCATTATCATTGTCCTGATAACAAAAAATACCATAATTACTATCATATATTTTAATTATTAGTAATAAACAAAAATTAGACTTCATCGGGTTGCTATTATTATTACAGCAGTGGCACTGCATGAAATTTTACTGTACTACAAGGTATGGTATGATGATTCATGTCTAATAAACTTAGTGTCAACTTACATTATTTTCTTTCAATAAACCCTTTGCCGTACTTGCATCAGCATTCCTTTCTAGAATTATATCTTTTATAACAACGGTTTCAATGTTTTCCTATGAGAAAAATTTAAAAACAATAAGTTACAATTGAAAACATGTAGGTAGTTACAATACAATAGTAAAATATTACAACTTATAAATATTTTCAACTCACATTATTCTCTTTTAATATGTCTGCATAATCAGTGTCGCCTTCTATTACATAAACTTTTTCATTCTGATCCATTGTCTTTACTTCCATAATTTCCTGTTAATACATTAATTATTAGTCAAAATACAACAATTTTATATACAGAATCTGACAATCATGTGGGAACTCAAATAGTGGGAAATTATCAGACTTGAATACACAATATTGGATAAAATTAAGTACTTACACTGAATGTGGCACTGTCGGTATCGAAATCACTTGGGATTCCCTTTAGTGCTGGTCCTAATATGGCCTCCACTATTGTAGACTCGGTATTAGATGGTGGTGGAGGTGTTGGCGGATTTCCACCACCTGCAATACACAAACAAAAAAAGCAACATATACAATATCCTTACTGATAAGTCGGCACCTATTATAAGACGTGAATTGTTATTGTACATACCAGTCATAAATAGCTTTTCTTCCTGTCTGCTCGGTCTTTTTTGGTCTGCCTTTTAATATTTTCCCAGCAACATTTTAGGACTGCATGGGTTCGATGGCAAAACGTGCTGACAGTATTAAACTCCTCTGCTAGACGGATCCACCCTTTCAACTTAGCGGAATTCGTGGTGGCATCGGTGCGCTTATTTTCCACAATATCTTGGTATTTTAACACCAACTCCGTTAAAATACGCTTCTCATCGCTTGAAAAATTGTTTGTTCTCTTTTTTATAGCTGCCATTTTTCAAGTAAACCGTAATTTAAAAATTGAACACTTTCACAACACAACAAAATAATAATCAACGCAGAGAATATTAGAACGTGCAAAGAAATAATAACAATTTTTATTTGACAATGACAGCGCGGTGACGTTATTACCCATCCAAATTGGAAACAACATGCTAACGTAACAGTTTCCAATGCGTTCTCGAACTTCTCAAGTTGAAAGCGTTTTATTTTATGCTACTAAATATAGATGTCACCAAAACTCGTGTCGTCTAAATAAAACTATGTGACTTCTCTAATGAGTAGACTTATAGCATTCGTTCATTAGTGGTTCATTCACTCTGAGCGTATGGTGATTGCCTGATTTAGTAACCACGGTTAAAATATTCGTGGTGAACAGTGAATACTTGACCGGGTGCATAACCGATGTTTAGGAATTCATCCGCTGATTACTCAAACATTGGTTAAATGATAGTCCCCGTGAACTCCGCCCTTAAACTAGCTATAGTCGTTTATTCGCTTCTGCATGTCAATGATATGATAGTAATTGTAATAATTTGGTACATGTAAAATGTGATTACAGTTATTTATCAGCTTTTTGCTGTATAATTACAATAGCGAAATAAACAGAGATCTTTTGTTAAATACGATTAAGTTCCTTTAGATTTTATTTCTTGAAGTTTTGTAAGAACATTTTTTTACCTATTAACAAAGAAGATATAATTATGTCACTAATACAATATTCAAAATTCGATTCACTTAATCATATTAACTTAATTGCAAACCTAGATAATATTGAGCCTGGTAAATCATTCATGAATGATTTAGATACATGCAAAACAGTTGTACAAACTCAACTTTACACACTAAACCTGAAAATATTGACACAAAATATTAGAAGTATAAATAGAAATTTCGCCCAGCTACAAGTCATGTTAGCTAGGTTGGATATATCGTGTGAAATTATTATTCTAACTGAAACATGGTACTCAAAAATTCTTAATGCACCTATCTTGTTAAGTTATGACTCTTACTGTACTACAAATAATCAAAATCCAAATGATGGAGTAATAGCATACATAAAACAAAGCTCTGGCTATATCGTTGAAGAAAAAATACTGACGGATGCCTCATGTTTACTTATTAGAGTAAGTACTGATACCGTTGTACTTGGCATCTATAGATCTCCCTCTGAACGAAATATTGATAATTTTTTAAGATCTCTAGATGTCCTACCATCTGATTTGTCAAATTACAGTAACATTGTATTAGTTGGAGATTTGAACATAGATATTACTCAAAACAACATAGATAAAAATTCAGATCAATATCTAAATTTATTAGCAACACATGGGCTCCTACCTGGTCATGTTTATCCAACTAGAGATAGAACTTGTTTAGATCCTTCAATGATCAAAGCCAAGCATCCTTCACTCACTATCGTCATAGAAACAAGTCTTACCGATCATTACCCGGTTCTAACATGCATTAAATTGAAACATAATAGTATTATAACGAAAAACACAAATTCACGAAAAATTCATTATAAAGCTATTCTCGATGAACTTAAATTACTATTTTCTTGCTCATGGAAATTCCAATAGTTATACACTCCATGTAAATAAAAGAGATGTTTCAACTAGTTTATCGTTGGATATTCACACTGCTGGCTGGCGAGGAATCGTTTCACTGCTCGTAGTTTGTCTTTAATCGACAAAACATATGATAAAAGTACTACTCGCTCACCACTATGAAACCCTAAAACTCGCTTATAATCGAGCTTGCTAGCTTGTTTCCACATTCTAGCCCTACTTATCACACGTCCATCGTTGTCGGTTGAACAACTGCCTAATTATAGTGTAACATTACAAAACAAACATTTTAATCAACGATTGTAGACAATTGACGTGCCCCACGGTTTTATTTTAGTCTAGTCTATGCATATGTTTATAATTCCCACGACTGTATCTATTTTATTATTTTGTGGTTTTTAGTACATTTATCTTAAACATTGCAATGTATGTTTGACATAAAACCGTTTAACTTAAAAAGTTTTTTTACCTATTTTTATTTTCTAGTTTTTAGTTTTTATTTCGCATTCTGTTTAATTCATTTAGTGCTTCATTATTGCAAGGTTTCTTGCCCGTTAGTTTATTGCAGTCCAACTCCTCTATACGTAGTCCCTGCAAAGATCTTACTCTACTAAGAGCCACGTAGGCTTGACCTTCTTTAAACAGTTTCGCACCTAAGTATACGACTGCGTGATCCACAGTGCTGCCCTGCATTTTATGTATTGTAGAAGCCCATGATAGTATTAAAGGCAACATTCTTCTTTCAGCCGTCCCGTAATTGTACTTAGCTGGAAACTGTATGGCTTTTGGGTGTATAAGATGTACTCCGTCTCTTGCGAAATCAATTCGGACGGAAGGTACATCTGTTGCATACATCTGAGTTCGACGAAATCGAGGCCAAACGATTTCGTTGATGTAGCCTATAGCGCCATTTACTAATCCCTTTAAAACGTCAATATTGGACCGTAGCATGACTTTTGCCCCCACAAATATTTTCAGTTCCGCTGGTAAACCCCCAGTTTTGTTGATATCAGCTGGTATTATAGTAGCTATATCCACATTGTCTGCATTTCGTGTGGCGTGTACTAGCTGATCCTGCGCTTTTATTTTGTAAATGCGAGCACCATTATTTCTGTACAAATTCAATACAGCAGAGTTGTGGTCGTTAACTTGTTGATTTGTGGGGTATACCCTTAACGCTTTGTCTATTGCAAACTCATCACTCGTGTCTTGAAGAAGTCTTCCCATTAAAATACTAAAATGTTGGGTTGTTAGCTCACCGACTCTCAAAGCATTCAAAATATCAATAAAAGTCTGGTCACCTTGCTGACGCATATTTTCAGTTAATTCACACAGCGTGAATAAACGCCAGAGATGTGTAGCTGGTTGGAGATGTTCTGGCTGTTTGAAAACAGGTGTTCCTGATCGTTTTATAGGAGGCAGTTGTAAAAGATCACCGAAAAGTAATACGTTTACTCCTCCAAAAAACTCATTTTCACGGTTCTTAATTTGCCTTAATCGAGCGTCCATCATGCATAACATTTGATAAAACACCATGGAAATCTCGTCGACAATCAAAAATTCTGTCTGATGCCATTGTTGTCTCATTATTCGCAAATAGTTTCCGGACAGTGGTGACATACCTGTTATGCGACCGTCTTTCTGTACAGGCAATTTTAAAGTACTGTGTATCGTAGCTCCATTTATTAATCTAGCTGCTACTCCTATTAGTGAGCAGACTTTAACCGCATCCTTTGCGTAGCACCTATTAATTTGGTCTCGTAATAACTTTAATAGAAAAGTCTTGCCCACACCAGCTCCTCCTGTAAAGAATATTTTTAAACGTTCTTCAGCACCTGACATTTGATTTTGTATGGACTGGGTAACTAATGTAAAAATTTCCTTTTGTCCTGCATTCATAGACTGCTTAGCCTGTAAGAACTGGTCTTCATTCATTGGCAAATAAGGAACTTCTTCTTCATGGTCTAGTTCCATCGGCTCTGCGTGTTCCAGTATCTGAAATGCGTGTACTTGCGCGAATGCATTTTCAAGCTGCCTGTCACGTTCACGATATATTTCCAAGTAGGCGTTTGTTTGTCTTAAACTTTCTTCGTTGGCGAGAAACGCATCTCTGGCACTATTAAATTCTCCTAAAAGTTCGGCCTCATTGCGATACGGCATATACTGGATTAGTAAACTGTAATAATATGACTCTGGATCAGAAGCTGCTACGAAGTTAGGTACCCGTACTACAGCTGGCGTGTTTCTAATAGTCATTTTGGTGTTGTCTGTTAAAGTTATAAGACGCCTTCTTGTTGTTTGCTCGTGCGGTGCATAAGCATCGATATCGATGCTCTCTTCATTTATAACTGGCGGTTTTGTGTAGTGTGGCTCAAATAACATCGCAAATTCTATGAGACACATATTGTTAAAATCATAGTTGGGGTGCTCTGCTGGTCGCTTTTCATATCGTTCGAAAATATTGGCACAATATCCTGCTGCTTGACCAGCTTCATTAGACTTCAACACTTTATACCTTTGTTCCGCTTTACGAGTATTGACAAAAATTGTTTTTCTCGAGCTGTCACGCATACTCAAATGGCATAGCCTGAATACGCATTCGCAGGCTGAAACTTGACGTTCTCTTAATATGCGCATGCATATTTTAAACAGCTTACGCGAGACGTCAGTTTCTTCTCTTCTAATTTGTTGAATAGCTCGAGATACTTCACCATCTAGGTTTGTAGGTTCTCATTTTGACACGTATTTAGCGATGTAATACGCAATCGACTCATTTGTACCACACGGTTGTATATCCATATTGGCTTTCCACATTTTTAGCAAAGCAGGACTGTAATTATTTACCCAACCATCTTCACTTTTTCTTTTCAGAACGCAAATGCGACCACCGTTGTAGATGAATTCGTTAGATGAAGGATCAATAACATGTGTCTCTAAGCATTCCGAGCGTGGAAAGTTGAAACGACAAACAGAATTATTTTTCGTGCAGGTACTAGTGTGTCGATGTATTTGACAATTTTTAACTAATTCATATAGTTCTGAAGTTTCTGGAGGAATGGCAGTACTACAGACTGAATCAATGCGAGCTATTCCTTCAGGTGTCGCAACAGACGGGTGATCTTCGTTCCGAACAACCATATGCAAATGAGGACTTCCTCTGTTCTGAAACTCGATTCGCCACCAATGATCTTTAACTTTACCGCCAAATATTTCAGTATCAGTTTTAAGAAACTGCATTAGCGCATTAACACGTACCATAAAATGTCTACTCACAACAACTGGATACATCTCGATGAGTCTCTGAGTTTCCTGAATATCTATGTCATCTGGGTCAATGTGCTGTTTACCATCACTAACAAGGAGACCTCTTTTCATATCCTTCCAGTGAAGATCATTGCAGCTTAATGTAACAAAATAAGTGGGAGGTCCTAAACATCTGATTTGTGCTATAAGATCACTAAGAGCACTACGCCAATAAGCAGCGGAACCTCTTAGATTTTTTAAATATAAGTGCAGGTCTTCCACTCGATTGCCGTTTTCACCTTCAACTTTTCTAGCACAAGCTGCAATGGTTGATTTAACTCGATAGTAATCAAACATTGATAGAGCATAGAATAGGTAATCGTTGCGCTGAAATCTAACATCAGCACCTAATAAACGAAATTGATAGTAATCCAAAGGACTTATATTTACAGGCCGTTGTTCTTTCAAACCATTTTACCATACGGGAAAAGCTGATACCATGCGAACTCTTCTGCTTTTAACTCATAAGCTTCATTCACAATATTATTATTCGTCTTTCTTCTGATTTCGTTTACATTTTCAGATACCTCTAGCTCATCTTCAACATCAGGTTGGACGCTATCAATAGGCAACATTACAGATGTTTGTATAGGTATAGTTTCAGATCTCAGATTCGAAAGCGGTTGTTGTACTTGTACATCCTGATGAGTGATGGCATCTTCCTGTTGCTGTACTTGAACACCCTGACGAGTGATAATATTTTCCCTCAAATGTACGTCTACGCGTGTAAGGGTGTACGCGATATTACGGGATCCGAGGCATCTTTTACAGATGATTAGATTTCAATTTTGCATAGTAAATTGTATTCTACTTGGTGAGACCTTTCATTTGATACCCATGTTGATGGGATTGATAAAACCTAAGTTATCCGCCATTTTGTAGAGGCTGCCATCTTGGATTTTAATTTTATATAGTACATTGTATTATACTGGTTGAGCACTTTCATTTGATACCCATATTGATGGGATCGATAAAACCTACGTTATCCGCCATTTTGTAGCGGCCGCCATCTTGTATTTCAATTTTTTATAGTATATTGTATTCTGCTTGTTGAGCCCTTTCATTTGATACCCATATTGATGGGATTGATAAAACCTACGTTATCCGCCATTTTGTAGCGGCCGCCATCTTGGATTTCAATTTTTTATAGTATATTGTATTCTGCTTGTTGAGCCCTTTCATTTGATACCCATATTGATGGGATTAATAAAACATAAATTATCCGCCATTTTGTAGCGGCGGCCATCTTGAATTTATAATGATAATGAATAAACATAATTGTATTGTCACCAAAATCCAAAGTGTATACAATATTTCAGATTAATCGGTTGACAGGAAGAGGGTGAAATTTGAATTACTAAATTTGACCCAAGAATAATAAATAAAACAAACGGGGTGAGCTAAATAAAACCGTTTAAAAATATATAAACTACTATATTAAAAATTTGGCTAAGTCATTATTTTTAGTGGTCTAACTTTAACTACTGCTATAGTTTATTTTTATGGCGGTACTTGTAAAAATTTTTAATAATGTAGAATATCAATGTTTAAAGTATAACTGACCTTGTAATGTCATTTTATTATTGTGTGGATTTTTGTTAAAAATATGAGTGATAATGTTTAATGATAGTTTAGTGACAATTCTTTTGTATCATAGAGGAAGGAACTGTCGTCTGTAATACAGGCTCTGCCTAGTACAGTCGGCAGTGACAAACCGATGTAAGTAGCATAAATTGTAATAGGCTTTATTTTGCGCTTAGTGTAAATTTTATGTCAAAACTTATTGCTAATAAACTTTTATTATTATTATTATTGCGTCGTTAGCGCTCATAAAATAAAGATATAATATTATATACATAATATTAATAATCATTTTCAGTATAACACACGTGTTTTCTACACTACTTCACGTGCACGAATAACATTAGGTACTATATTGCTAATTAAGTTCTGTTGGGGCAAAATGTCTTAAATCGGCATTAAACTAAGCTCTGCGAGTTCTATTTCAAAGTCCAAGTTAATCAAAATCTACATATTATGTAACTGATTTATAAATGTACCATACATGTAACATTTATTAGGTAAATTATTAGCAACGTCGTTTATGATATTTTAGCAATCGAGTATTGAACGATTTGTTGTATATAACTGTTTTTACTTTGCTCTATCTTCGTAAGTATTTAACGTAGCACTTAGCCGGTTTTACCAGTATACAGAGTTCAAAAAGATAAGAATTTTCATTTATTTAACTCATTTTTGCTAAAAATGTACTTTAGCAGGTTTTCGCAGTAAACCCTCGATATAGGAACACTAGCATTGCCCGCGCCTCCGCCCGCGTTCAGATGACCAAAAACCAAATTCTTAGGTTTTACATATTAGTATACTCTTACATTGCAGTTTTTGTATTTTTTCTCAGAAATGAGATATTTTCCCGAGGTAAAAAGTATCCTATATGTTGACCCGGATAACCAGCTATCACCATACCAAATTTCATTAAAATCCCTCCAGTGGTTTTTCCGTGATGCGGTAACAGACAGACAGACAAAAATTCTAAAAACTATAGATTCGGCCTCTGTATCAATAATAATGTCTATTTCAATAAGATTTTCCAAAAAATATTTAATGTACAGATTCGGCTTAGTTACAATTTTACTATATATGATCAATGGAATGTTAAAAAAAATTATTAAACATTTCAGTCTCATAATAGTTTTTAAGAACTCAAGTGACTTAAACATGTGACTTAGAACTAAAAACACATTATAAAGAATATAAAAAACTTAACGACGTAAAAGTTGTTATAAAGTTACTTAAAACAAGCTTTCGTGAAATCCAGTATAGCATCTGGGAATGATGTTTTTTTCTAACAAAGTACGTAAATCTTGCTTGTTTTGATCAGAAATCGGAAGTTTGGAATTATAAGCTGCTCTTAAAGGTACATCAGTAATGTTTAAATCATTATCTGATCGAGTTTTACGCGTTTTAATAGTCGTTTTTGATTTTCCCCATTCACTCTCGTAAGGTCTCGTCGTCTCGTAAGGAATATTTTAGGTCATAAGTCTCACTATTTTTAACGAATCGTATAGCTTTTATTTCCGATAGTTTGATTCGGTTACCTTTCATGTCTTTGTTAACATTTAATGTAATATCCTCAAACAGCTTTTTTAAATCATAAAAATCGTCATAGTTCAGCTCGTTAACTACCAAAGCATTTCTAGTTTTCTTGGTGTTTCGTATAAGTTAAACGTACTGGTAGTGAATATACATAGGTAGGACCAGACCTTTTTGCTCTTTTAATAGACTTTTCGATAAGCGAGTGAGCATTATCGCCCTCATTCCGAGTGTGGCCCCGAATCAAATATTTATGTATAATAGACTTTATTGGAAGAGTTTCAACAGCATAGTAATAGGATAAACTATACAATGATTGGCATTTTAAGGATTCTCTGATCTTTAAGTGTTTCTTTAAAATATGATCTGATATTAATATCGGAAGAAAAGTTTAATTGATTTGAAAACCCTTTTTCTTCTAAGTGTTTAGAATCTGATGATATACATTCATTAGAAGTGTGCAGTACGATTCTCTTGATTTGAAGAATCTATACCAGATGAACTAAATCATTTTCATCACTTTTATTGATCATTTCAAGTTTAGGTATCTTATTAAAAAATGTATCTATCGTCCTGAAAGTTCCATCACCATGGCGTTTCGATCCACCACCTTTTTTCACGAAATTGTCCTGTACCAAATATAAAGAAAAAAAGTGCAACTTATTTGATACAGACAAAAAAATGCATACTTATTAATGGTTACTCTGTCTAATAAAACTTATTATTGGATCTAACCCCCTGACCGATCGCCGTAAAACTTTTTTGCTCTCTAACTTATGTTAGACTATTAAAGATTTCAATTCTAAAACAAATTATTTTAAATGAAAACATGTAAATAAAACTATATATCGGATTTTTACGCGGATATATTTAGATTTTTAGTTTAATTTATTTTAAATGTCAAATATTCGCGTAAATCTAAAAAGTATTACGAAAACGTAGATAATTTAATTTTTTTTTTAACTTTGAATGTCACTTTTGAGATTGGTATTCTTTTAAACATTTAAATTCAAGTAAACAGAATAAAATTCAACTCAATCATAAATTCAAACAGAATAATAAATTACATAAAATAAACTTTAAATAGTAAGTTATACTTAATTCAATTTTAAAAATACACTGAGAGAAATACATACTTTTATCAAACTATTTTTTTCTTGACTCCGGAAATTACTTTTAATAATTTTTATAAAATCTTTCATTATTTTCCCTCAAAAATTAGTAAATTTTATCGAACATATTTTTTTTTATGAAAGAACATTTTGATTTGAGATAATTAATATCATAATCTTTTTTGATTGATATGTTCAAATACCTACAGATCCACAGTTTTATTTACAAATCTAAATAATTAGCATAAACATTTATTTACGTTACCTAAATTTTAAATTTATAACACTTAGTACATAAAATTTGCCATTATTTTTTCACTTGATCATAGAACAAATTACAATTATTGTATTTTATGAAGATAAATTATGTCTACTAATGAGTGATAGCTAAAGCCTAGTTCGCATTAAGCTAGTATTTTAGTCTAGTAGCGAGTAATTTAGTAACTAAACGTGTCTGAACACTAAAAATTTAGTCGATTAGTTTAGTAAGTAATTTAGTCGAGTCAATCCATTTTATTCTATTTTTTTGAGCGAGTAGCAGCCCCCACCACGCGTCCAAGCTCACTGGTTCACCGGCTATACAAGTACGAACCTGTCGAATTAGTCGAGTTCATTAGTTGCCGCCATAATGTCGTTTCGCTGGAGCGAAGAAATGACTTTTAAATTTGTTTCGAAATATGTTGAACACGAATGCTTGTGGAATATTAGGTCCTTGCATTATAAAAACAAGCATATGAAACATTCCGCATACTTAGATTTGGAAAAAATAATGAATATACCCGGATTCGGCGAAAAAGAAATTAAAATGAAAATTAAAAACGTCAAGTTACTTTTCATTACTTTATTTCAAAAGCATATTTATGTATTTATTTAATTAATTAGAACGGTATAATCGAAATGTTGAAATTAAGCACAAACTAACATATTATATTTTTGAATTTACATTTTATTCATCTTATCTTAAATTATAGTTTGTAATCAGTGACTTACAAAATATACTATAAAATATATAATGATATACTGAAATTATAAAAAAAACACCACTCACTTGTAAACTGTACTCGACCAAAGTGCGAACGATTTTTGGTGAGTAGCGAGTAATTTAGCTACTAAATTACTCGCTACTAGACTAAATTACTAGCTTAATGCGAACTTGGCTTAACGGTCGAGCAAGTTGTCGTGCCATCCGTCGAGCCGCCCCTCGCCGTCTCCCCCGCTTTCTTACGGAGCGGATTATTCACCTTACATAGGGTTCAGGTTACAATGTAGCGGATAGTGGCCACGCAACTATAAAGTTATTTAAAAAAAAAACGTTTTATGCTTTGTATAGGGCATATTTAAATTAAAGAAATACTGAACAACGAATAAAAACTTAATTTGTTTCGAACTAGGTACATAAAAAATAATTTTATATTAATCCTTCTGTTCTCAAACTTCAGGTTAGTAGTAATAGTCAGGTATAATAACCTCACATGTTAAATTAACCGAAAAGGAAACGAAGGACGTCAAGAAAAAAAATTACTCATCAGAAAATCAGCTTTAGAGATAAAAATTGGTACATATAAAGTAATCAATGAAATTGGAAATACGTTACATGAAAAAAACAAAAGAAAACGGGAAAACTCAACAGAGTAACTAAATGAAAAAAAGGTTGTGAAACGGAAGAAATTGACATATTTTTATGAAACGAGCTCTTTATCTAATATTCTCAGTATTGCAAACACAGGAGATTCTGAATATAAGACATTTGATAAATATCTATCAACATTTTACCAGAGATAGACTGTAGACAACAAGGAAATTGTGAGCGAGAAAACTTCACTGCAACATTTAAGTTAAGTGATATCAGCTGTTTTACAAGCGATGTAGATTTAAAAGAAAAGGAATGGGTTGTTTTAAAATTTGCGACGGAAAAAGCATAAAGCACTTTGTTGGTCGGGTTTTATATACGAAAAACAGTATTCCTACTGTAAAATTTACAAGAAAAGTGAAAAATACAAAAGATGCTTAAGTGATTTTCACGTACTCGATATTTCTACACGAGAATAAATAATGTTTGATATTAGAGGAAAGGATGCTAATTTAGAATACTGCTGGTTTTTTGGAATACTGTATTATAAATATATAGAAAAGCGCCATGTATTAACGAATACCAGTATTACGTAGTCTGTGTATTAGGAAACAAGTTGGAGGCGGCTCACAAGCAGCTGTATTAACAGTTCTGTGACAAACTGCATCGGAGTGAAAGTGCTGTCGATAAAAGTTTCCAAGTAAGTAATAAATCGGCATGAATTTTGCGTGTGACTTATATTTATTTGTTTATATTTGTACAAATCTACAGTTTAGTGTATCAGTTGTAGAAATCAGCACTTATTTAAGAATTATTAAATAAAACTATCTTTTCGGATTATTTCGCGGATTTATTTTGATTTTTGGTTCCCGACGTTTCGAATGCTTTACAGCATCCATGGTCACGGGAGAGACTCTCCCGTGACCATGGATGCTGAAAATCAAAATAAATCCGCGAAATAATCCGAAAAGATAGTTTTATTTAATAATGGCAAACATTCGCGTAAATCTAAGAAAGTATTACTTATTTAAGAAATTATTCTAAACACAAATTCATAAAAATATTTTAGGTTAGAAATGGTTATGTTGCTAATTTAGAAGACGATAGTTGAAGTTAATTTTAAATATGCCAAATTATGTGCACATTAGTGTACCCTCCTGTTTCTATTTCTAATTAAAAGAATTCTGAATCGTAATTACTTTTGATAGTGTTTTTAATCAATATTTTTTAATTTTGTTTTAGAAGGGTCTAGAACTGCGGCCAACTCTGCCCTTAAATATAAAAAGCGTAAGAAGTGGAGTCAAGATGATATGACTGCTGCGATATTAGCTGTTCGAGATACTAAAATGGGCTATTTAAAGGCAGCGCAGACTTATATTGTACCCAGAACCCCCTTATTTCGACTTGCTGAAGAAAAAAAAACTTTGGTAGAAGATACTCTGAACAAAAACTAGGTCCTAAGACCAGTATTAATTGAAGTTCTTGAGGATATGTTGGTGAAATGTTTTTTTTATACCATGTCGGTGGCAAACAGGCCGCCTGATGGTAAGCTTGTGAAACGGGGCTGTCTATTGTACAAGGCAAATATCCCAAAGTGATTGGTCGCCGAGGAAAGAAACAAATTGGAGCTGTCTGCTGAAAGAGGATCTCTCATAACAATGTTTATTTTTTCGCGCAAAAATATAATCGAAATTTTGAGGAAAGGCACTCCTGTAGGGTCTATTGGCCGAGCACATCCTACTGGCTCGATACAGACACATTTATTCACGCAGTGGTTCTAACATTTTATCGATTATGTAAAGCCATCCAAAGCCTCGCTGGTTCTTCTCCTATTTGACGGTCATTTCAGTCACACAAAGAATATCGAGCTCGTAGATAAAGCTAGAGAAAATAATGTGACTTTGATTTCCCACATTGCACACAAGATCCAGCCCATGGATAGAACATTTATTGACCCACTAAAAGCTTACTACAGCGAAGAAATTCGTTTGTGGTTCCGCGAATACAATAGACCACTTAATGTCTACGACATTTCAGAGTTATTTGGCAGAGCCTATCGAAAATGCCAGACTAGAGAAATTGCAGCGAAAGGCTTTAGTGTTAGTGGCATTTACCCTTTCAATAAAAATATGTCCACCGTGTTGGTCGAAACGAACAGGTATTGTATCAAATAAGACCGACGATTTCAGAACCACGTAATCCTGCCGTAGGTAGACCACAAGTCACAACCATTCACCATCCCTATTATAGACAGAATGCTTTTAATGTTTCGCCAGATAACAGACAACAGACAAATAAATCAAAATCAAACCTATAAAGAAGTAAAAGATAAAAAATATAACACATAAAGAAGTATTTCTAGTTTCAGCTTTTGGAAATAGAACCCAAAACCATTTAGTTATTTTATATGCAAAAAATTTATATTATGTATAATCATATCGTGGTGCTGACCTTTTGTTATGAATTGTAAATGGAAACTTGGTTGGTTTTTAGGATTACTTTTATATGTTTTATAATGTAATTATTTATTGTACTGTTTGTTTCCCTTAAAAAGCTAATAAATAAAATAAAAAAAAAACAGAGTCGTTCAAAAATGTACTTATTTTTTTATTTTCTTGCGCGTTATCGTATCTTTTTTTTCTGATGTTGATCTACTATTTTCGTCTTGCACTAAAAATTCACAAACTGCTTTCCTTGTCTTTAGAACTGACTTAGTGGTAATTTTTTTTGGTTTCTTCTTGTCTTCTTCATTTGAGTAATTCTAATAATTCGCATTCTATATTTCGATAACTTAGACTCTAACTCGCAAATCCTTTTTTTCAGATAAATATTTTGTCTTAAGTAGTTTTCTATTACGTTTTGCTACTGTTCTACCACTTTTGGTTTGGTTCTACCACTTTGATCCGGTGGGAGTTGATGGTGGAGTATTTGTTTCCATAAAATTACGTGTAGTTTTATTATTTTTTTCCTTTTCACGTCTTTTTTGCTTTTTCTCTCTACCGTTTTCTCATTTGTCTCTGTTCTCCAAGAGTGAAGTCTTTTATCGTTTTAATAAGTCCTTGCTCCTTTTTCTTCTGATATCTTTCTTTATCTTTTCTCCTTCTTTCTTCTAAATCTGCTTCAGTCATTTTTGCCCGAGCGCGACGTATGCTATTTTTTTTCTGATCACGCCTTCGTTTTATCTTTTCTTCTTCAGATAGTTGCGCAGTCGACCTACTTCTTCGTGACACCCTACAAGAAAATAATTTTAATTTCACAAATCAAAATAATAAATAATAAATATATGATCTTTGTTTTCAGAATCGCGGAGAATCGAAATTGCGGGAAACGCGAAGCTCTCCAGGTCGTCGATGCGGTAAGTCTATTATATAGATACATAGGACAGATCTCACAAATATCTTTGAAGTCAGCGACTTCCACTGGACGACTGAGAGTATCTGCAACGATATTCATCTTTCGGTGTGTTAACATCCGAGTTGGAAAGCTTGTCTTCATTGCCCATCTGTCAAGTCGACCTTGAGCTCTGCTTGGCGTCTTCAACGTCAGGAGCCATCTCAGCGGCTGGTGATCGGTAAGCACGTGTATTTTAGTTCCCTGTAGGTATCCACGAAAACACGTGTATTTTAGTTCCCTCTAGGTATCCACGAAAACGCTCTAACGCCCACACCACAGCTAACGCTCCCCTTTCTGTGGTATAGTTGTTGCGTTCTGCGTTAGTCAATAACCTGCTAGCGTATTCGATGGGTCATTGTGACGTCGTCTGGCCTTTGCAGCAACACGGCGCCTAAAGCATAAGAGCTCGCATCCGTTAGTAACACAAAAGGTTCATTAAAATCTGGCTGACGAAGAATAGGTGAAGAAGAGATAAGTCTTCCCTTCAATTCTTCAAAAGCAACTCTCTGAGCTTTATCCCACTGCCAACATTGACTTTGTAGGGTTCAGCAATTTATGTAAGCTTAATAACCTATGTGAAGTTAAAAACTGACTAAGCAATAATTAGTTTTTATCAATTCTATTCGATTGTACTACGTTTGTACCGGACTGTACCGCTTTTTAAATCGTTTGTACCTCAAAGGGGTGAGGAATATGGGGGTTCGAATATATATATATATATATATATATATATATATATATATGGTTCACAGCCAACCTAAAAATATGACGTTTTTGTTGATGCCAATTGGAAGCATATCGTTTGTACTGGATTGTACCGCCCTTAAAATCGTTTGTACCTCAAAGGGATGAGAAATATAGGGGTGCGAAAATATATATGGTTCACAGCCAACCTAAAAATACGACATTTTTGTTGATGCCAATTGGAAGCATATCGTTTGTACTGGATTGTACCGCCCTTAAAATCGTTTGTACCTCAAAAGGATGAGAAATATAGGGGTGCGAAAATATATATGGTTCACAGCCAACCTAAAAATACGACATTTTTGTTGATGCCAATTGGAAGCATATCGTTTGTACTGGATTGTACCGCCCTTAAAATCGTTTGTACCTCAAAGGGGTGAGAAATATAGGGGTGCGAAAATATATATGGTTCACAGCCAACCTAAAAATACGACATTTTTGTTGATGCCAATTGGAAGCATATAGTTTGTACTGGATTGTACCGCCCTTAAAATCGTTTGTACCTCAAAGGGATGAGAAATATAGGGGTGCGAAAATATATATGGTTCACAGCCAACCTAAAAATACGACATTTTTGTTGATGCCAATTGGAAGCATATCGTTTGTACTGGATTGTACCGCCCTTAAAATCGTTTGTACCTCAAAGGGGTGAGAAATATAGGGGTGCGAAAATATATATGGTTCACAGCTAACCTAAAAACACGACATGTTTGTTGATGCCAACTGGAAGTATATCGTTTGTAAAGGATTATACGATTATTAGAACTGAAAAAATATACATAAATAAAAAAATATCATGTTTATAAATATATGTACATTTTACAATAATTTTTTTTCCCTACAAAAAATCTCTGCGGTATAAACGGGTACAAACGATGACAAGCAAAGAACTTATTGTAACGTTCAATTAGCGTATGTATAATGATAATAACAACGAAATTTTCGGAGGTACAAACGGGTACAAACGGTGAGAAGCCGAGAACTTATTGTAAAATTCAATTATCACATGTATAATAATGATAGAAACGAAATTCTCGGCGGTACAAACGGGTACAAACGGTGAGAAGCCGAGAACTTATTGTAAAATTCAATTATCGCATGTAGAATAATGATAGAAACGAAATTCTCGGCGGTACAAACGGGTACAAACGATGAGAAGCTTAGAACTTATCGTAAAAATCAATTAGCACGTGTATAATGACGATACAAACCAAATTCTCCACGGTACAAACGGGTACAAACGATGACAAGCCGAGAACTTTTTGTAACGTTCAATTAGCGTATGTATAATGATAATAGAAACGAAGTTCTCGGGGGTACAAACGGTGAGAAGCCGAGAACTTATTGTAAAATTCAATTAGCGCATGTATAATAATGATAGAAACGAAATTCTCGGCGGTACAAACGGGTACAAACGATGAGAAGCTGAGAACTTATCGTAAAAATCAATTAGCACGTGTATAATGATGATAGAAACCAAATTCTCCACGGTACAAACGGGTACAAACGATGAGAAGCTGAGAACTTATCGTAAAAATCAATTAGCACGTGTATAATGATGATACAAACCAAATTCTCCACGGTACAAACGGGTACAAACGAAGAGAAGCCGAGAACTTATTGTAACGTTCAATTAGCGTATGTATAATGATAATAACAACGAAATTCTCGGAGGTACAAACGGGTACAAACGGTGAGAAGCCGAGAACTTATTGTAAAATTCAATTATCGCATGTAGAATAATGATAGAAACGAAATTCTCGGCGGTACAAACGGGTACAAACGATGAGAAGCTTAGAACTTATCGTAAAAATCAATTAGCACGTGTATAATGACGATACAAACCAAATTCTCCACGGTACAAACGGGTACAAACGATGACAAGCCGAGAACTTATTGTAACGTTCAATTAGCGTATGTATAATGATAATAGAAACGAAGTTCTCGGGGATACAAACGGTGAGAAGCCGAGAACTTATTGTAAAATTCAATTAGCGCATGTATAATAATGATAGAAACGAAATTCTCGGCGGTACAAACGGGTACAAACGATGAGAAGCTGAGAACTTATCGTAAAAATCAATTAGCACGTGTATAATGATGATAGAAACCAAATTCTCCACGGTACAAACGGGTACAAACGATGAGAAGCTGAGAACTTATCGTAAAAATCAATTAGCACGTGTATAATGATGATACAAACCAAATTCTCCACGGTACAAACGGGTACAAACGAAGAGAAGCCGAGAACTTATTGCAACATTCAATTAGCGTATGTATAATGATAATAAAAACAAAATTCTCGGCGTTACAA